TCTTTAAAGGGAGGTCCTCACAATACCAGCTCAGCCGCGATGAAATCCCTGTCTCATATTTCGCCTCAAACGAGGATAGAAATCCAACCCAGCCAAAATGGGCTCAACCACTGGGCTGTAGCGCACACATCTGGACACAGTTTCGTATATCGAATTACACTGGGTCCCGTCTCAGAAAATATTTCTCTTTCTTCTCGCATTGTCACAAATGTTTAAAGTTAGTACTTATAACCGATTTAGGCAGGTTGGGCACTAGCAATACCGTCCAAACACCACTAAATGTCAATAGATTTCTCTCGAACGAGTTTCTTATTGCCTTACAAAAACTATCTTTGCTACCAAGTGTAGCACGAGTTGACACAAAAACACACCAAACGCCACGCATCCAACGCCCAGCAGCCGTTCCATTCTAGCACCATCACCAGACTTTAATCACGCCGGTCTTCCAGCTAACGCGACAGAGCACGAGCGGCACGCCTCCCTCCGAGCCAGCACGCAATTCCTGATTGTGACCAACGCGCATCGTCGTCGTTTTTTGCATCAGCACAGCTCAGAGTCGTCGGCCCCGACGGCGACTGCAGAGACACGTCGGGACCTCGGACGGAGCGGCGTCGGGGACGTCGCCAGCAGTGATGGCGATAACCCTTCCGGGGTACGCCACTAGCGAATTGGACGGGCACACTGACCCGGCGGCGGCGCGCGGGCTCCAGTTGGCCCCGGCTCAGCGGAGCTAAGCTTAGCTCACCACCGACAGAGCTGAGGGAGCTGACCGGGCCCCCGGCGCCGGCCCAACCAGACAGAGACAGAACGAGCACATAATGGGGATAGTCCACGACCGACCGAGTCAGATGGGCCGGGTCACTGCCGATTTTTCGGCGATGTCGCTTGAGACATTGATCCGAGGGCGTCGCCGGCGGCTCCTGGCCCCCGGCGCGTCGCGACCATCGCTGACGGCGACGGGACCGACAACGATGACGCTGTCGTCAGTACATCGTCCATCGCGACGCATCGTCCATCGCGACGGAGACGACGATCAGCGATGCTGGTAACGACACAACTGACGCCGGCGACACTCATGACTCTGGCGATGACACATCTGACAACACCGACAGCAACGCTAGCTATGAACAGAGACTCGAGTTCGACAGTCGACGCCGAAGGGCTCCCGACCGAGACTGCTTCTCGCGAACAGAGCTGGTCGTCCGATTGACAAGAGGTCCCGTTGGGCGCCGCCAACCGTCGGCTGGGGCCAGTTCCATCAATCTGAGACGAGGCGGACACCCGAGGGACGGAACAGCAGCGGCTGGCGAGTCGGGTGACCGCGAGGCGCCCATTAGGGTCGTCCGAGAGTAACACGATATGGTAATCCGTACCGAAGGCCCAAGGCATTACGGTCTGTGATTCGGCAGCACAGATATGGACTTTGGAAACTAATGCGAGCATCCGATATTGAGATTAATCGGGGGATAGAGCGATTGATACTGATGTCAAACTACTGCGTCTCTTGGTTTGAAAAGCCGGCAATTGTAGAGGCAAAGGCCTTGAAGCCTGTTTTATCTAGATGAATATGTTCCTGTAACTTAGACGAATCAGCACACATCTTGCTATAAAAGCAGAATTGCAATGGAACAGCATACCTCCCATTTCTACAAAGATTTTAACAAACTATCCCGATTTCGGTCTACTTAGACCGTTGAGTTCGTACAACTTCTTCAAATTCCAGACCACACCAGACCGAGCGACCACGTCCTGCGGACTCATTTACTGCACAAAGAAACGGCCTCGGCCGATCGGGCCGTGTAGCTTCAAAGGAAGCCCGAGACCAATGATCCGGCAAATGTGTCTTGAAAAGACCGATGCATCGATTGGGTAGTCGGGCGAGTTCAGATGTCAGTGGACTCCGGATGGATGCCGACTGGCAATGCGTGTTTGGTGATTGCAGCAGCCAGGCGTCTCCGGATGCGACGGCGTTCTTTACAGAGACGCAGCGATGGGCGATAAGTTTTCAGAGACGCTCAATCATGCAGAAGGAACTGTTGGATTAGAATCCAGAAGGTCATCCTGGATGCCGCCGGCATGGAGCAATGACGCCGCGATCAAAGCTCTGTGGAATGTGAAGCTCTGAGCTCGCGTCAAATATGATTGTTGACCTATCAGATTGGTCAATGGACGACATTTGAAGTGATTTAAACCGATTCAGCGGAGCACAAGCCTACCCACACAGGCTGCCAATTCAGTCACGCAATGCACACCTTATCAAACACACACTAACGACAAAGTCTTTCAGGTCTGTCGGCCATTAACCCCATCGCCAGGTCTCCGCCGTGGGCAAATGGACAGAGGACAATGGCCTGGGGCCATTCGGCGTCGGCGTTGGTCCGCGGCAGCAGCAGGACGACGCAGTGGGCGGGACTGACCATGTCGTTACTGCCCAGCTGCCCAGACAATGCCCGAGCTCGTACATCTTCATCGCCGCCAACTGGGGTGTGTGCGCCGCTCTCCCGACGGCCTGGCCGTGGGCGCGGGGGGGGGGGGCGCTGGGACACCCACCCACCGCGCTCTGGGCGGTGAGAGTATGAATTTAAAGCAGCGTCGGTCAGATACGTTCCCGGGAAACTCATCTGCAGTGGACCACGGTTGAGGGTGGCAGCGCTACAAGGCTGCAGGCGGAAAATGCGATCACGCCCGCCGCTTGGGTGACATTGGCCACGGTGGCGACATTTCAGCAGGCTGTCAATGCACTGGCTGATCTGGGGTCATTCAAGAAGCTCAACTGGTCCTCGGAGCACTCCTTTGATGGGCTGCTTAAACATATATTGCACGATGAAGAATATATGTAATATAAATGATCATAGGCTTCTAAGCGATGGAACTTAACATATGTGGCGATGACAAGTCTGTATGATTGGTGTGTTTAATGAGTAACTCAGCAGATGAGTTTTCAGAGATGTTCGGTGCTGCACAGGTGCTATGGCAATGATAAGCTGGGAAAACCTATGCATGTTTTGTATTATTTTCTAACAAATTCATGTATTTCATTGTCATCTTCGTTAAGCTAAATGGGAAATAGATAGCTTGCTAAGTTCCAAAATATGTAGTTTTTTTTCTGTAACATGATGCAAGTTCTATCAAACGGCTGACACCTTCGACGACCAACAGTACCTGTTACATTTCATGAGCCTCACAACAGCAGCCAATTTCCCCGATGCATGCCACTCAATAAACACCAAAGCGCAGTGGCATCATCAACGTCACAATAAACCACCAAGAACCTGTTGAAAATGCACCTCAAGCCCCCATCGCATGCATGGCATGCAAGAAGTCCCGGCACTTGACGAAGTGGGCGCATTTCCGTAGCATATAGCGCATTATGTTGGCCCGTCGACCTGGGAAATGGCTGGGTTATCGTCTGCAGGCCGACCTCTGGTCGCGCCGCTGTGCCGTCTGATCAGAACTCCTGAGCCCGTGAGCTGTCAGACCGATGAGTTATGGCCTCCCGGCGACCCGTTCACGGCAGGTGAACGGACCAATAACAGTCGCCACGGCCCCCTAACTCTCGTAACAGGGCGATGAGGGAAATTTGAACTGCCATCAAACGGATATTGAGGTATTGTATATTGAAACGTTCCAATTACCGAGTCTATGGCTGTTTGAGGTAGCCCCGACCGGTGTCTTTTGTTAGGATACTTTCACAAATACAGGAACGATTATTGACAGCAATGATGGAACGGGTTTTTATAAACGCTTGACTACGCCGCAAAAAAGCTTGCGTGTGCATCATAGTGCTTTTTAGGATAATCGAAAACTGAACCAAAGATGGCATAATCATAATCATTAGCGCTGTTCAAAACCTTGTTGCCCGTTTCGTCTCTCGAATACACTTCATATGGTTCAAAATTTCATTATCAGTAAAAAGCTCGCATTTTCGGTCAGGGCTGCGCTGTTCCTAAAACCACCCAAGCTCTACAAACCTTCCTTAGACAATAAACCACCACCAACCGCTCTCTCAGTTGGTTATGGGGTAACTCCTTCCCACGCGAAAATCTCCGCTGAAAATAGAAAGTGTAACTTCCAATTCCTAGTCGACGCGCCGGTCCTCAGAAAAACATCGCCGTGGGGACGCTCGGAGCCCCCGCCCCACCCCGGCCCCTCCCATTCCAAGTCGGGTGAGCTCGCGTGCTGCGCCGACGCTTAATTGAAACTCGGTCCGCTCTTCTTGTCTCGTTCGGATCCCATTCTCTTTATCACGCATGCTCCCCGCGGCTATGCACGTATTTTTCTAGTGTTATGTTGGTGGCAGGAGGCACACGCTTCTACCGTCAGTTTGAATGCATAGGGAAACCCCGTCCATAGTGGTACTGAGGTCCAGGCGCTTGCAAAAGTGCATAATGACGTCATATAGCCGGCGCCGGGCAGATTGCCAGCAATTACACCATAGATTACGAATTGAAATGCCAGCAGTAGTGCAACAATAAGTAATAAGACTAGCCTGAACCGTACTCTCGGTCCCAAAATAGCCCTGAATTGTGACTGAGTGTGAATACTGAGCGTAGCGCTCATTCTGTAACAAATGCCTCTATTTCGGGACATGATACTGCGGGGGTGCACGCGACGCATCCACGTCGGCATGCAAAGTAATCTTTAGGCTACAGAATGAAGGACAGTGTCATAGCAGAGGCATGGAGAGACATGGCAGACAGATGCTTAATATAAGCTGCTGAGGGTATTGAGAAGTCCCTGAAATCGTGTTCTTCGTACCTTCTGCGCTTGTCTGCCCAAGCGTCAGGTCACAAATTGATCTAACCTGGCTTGGCACGGGGTCAGGACAGTCTTTGACCAGACGAGACTTCAGATCAGGACACACACCGACCTTGCCTGACACTGTGCCTTCATACTGACCTGACCTGACGCGGGGTAAGGACTGGCCTAATGACCTGGCTTGGCACGGCGCCAAGGCACACACTGACCTGGCTTGGCACGGTGTCAGGGCACACACTGACCTGGCTTGGCACGGCGTCAGGGCACACTCCATCAGACGGTCGCGAGGTCGCAGACGGAAATCACAGAACTGTTCCGATACCTCGATACCGGTTGTTCGACTTGTGCACACCGGCCGCATCACTTGAAATCCTGCGGGAGAGATTAGAGGTCAGGTCAGGTTAGATAACACTGAAAGTGAAAGCGTTGGTAAGATGCATTATGTGACACCATCAGTAACAGCTTCAAACATACCAGAAAATTGGTAAGAGTGAAAACAAACCAATAATCCCATAAGGACACTGACACCAGGAAGCAACCAACACTCTCGAACACGAACTTTTCTAGTCAGACTCTAGCCACAGGTCGCATTTCAAAAGCGGCGCCCGATGAGGTCACAGGTCATCCCACTGCACAGGTCGGGCAGTGGCACACTAGCGGCTGCCGTCTCACAAATAACTGTCGTGACAAACGCGTCTTTCGCTGTCCAAAACATGACATTACTCTGAAACGCGACGGAGTTGACATGACCGCCATGACACTAATTTGGATGGGCCACATGCCAGACATGGCAAGGAACAGCTCTGCTGCTCTAGACTGAATGTCGTAACGAGCGAGACAGTAAAAACTAAAAAGTGTTGACATGGCACAAGCTGTTTTTACAAATCGACTGGGTGGGTTTGTCACCCGGTCGTGGCCTATCAGTGCAGTGGTGGTTGTTTGAGCTAATTGCGTAGTTAGTATTGATTACTAGGCATTCTAAGCGTTTAACAGTTTTTAAGTTATTGGAACGATCGATTCGGCAATGGTGCATCAATTAGATCAGTATCATCTTTATAAGAGAGTACGGATAATGTGCTTGCTGTGAACGGCTTTGAAGTGTGAGCCAGCTTGCAGGATTGCCGTACAAGTAAAACATGGTTAACGCGGTGAACACGTAGCCACGCTACTGATGTTCCAAGCCTAGCAACTCCGCGACTTTACCGACTCCCTACTCGAGTAGCCGATCTGTGACTCAACCAAACACACAACTACTCAGCCTCCGACTCCCAATCCAACCCCTCAGCCTCGCGATATACACAGCTAAAACGACCGCCACAGCCCCAAAGGTTGGCGTCTTCAATCTCCATAAAAGGCGGTTAACATCCCCGCTTTCCGACGTCGATTCCGCCACAGCCAGGTGAGGTGATAAAGGACGTTTTACAGCGCGTCTGAGGCGGCCTCTAACCCGAGGATCATCCCCCGAACGCCGCGCCCGAATCCTCCCGGAGAATACAGGCCATTTGGACGGTAAAAGCAACCGCCCTCGTGTCGGCGAACGGCGCTCTTTAGTGAAGAGCCGACAAGCACTTACGGCTGCGAAGGGATGCCGGTCGGGAGGGAGGAGTTTAATAAAAGCCGAATCGTCAGGTGCTCAATGCTTTGATACCGTTTGAAGTTCCCGAGTGTAATGAAGATGCTGTGTGGTATGACACAGGGTATAAAATACGATAAATTATCTTTTTATACTGCAAAAAGAACCTCGCTATGCCTACTTCTCGCACGGTGAGTCCATCTTTTATTTCAATCAAATAAAATCAACTGCACTGAAAACATGTTTCTTAAAATTGTTCTTTAATTTGAAATTTAGCTACCTAGAAAACAATAAGCGCTTTTTTAGAACCTTTGCCACAAACGTTGCAATTGATGACCAATGACCATGTCACATCAACCTGAAGGACTTCGACTAGGTACGTCACATTTTACAATCGTTTCTAAACGAGGCATCTCCGTATGCAATGGGAAAATACCTGCATTTATTCTCTACTCAATGGCAAATTACGACTGCAACGGCAGTCACAGACCGTATTCCAGTGATCAATACAACCACATTAGCGTCCAAGGCTCTTCCATTCACTGTCATTTGATCACATCGCGTGTACGTGTGAGTCCCCCTCGCCTCCCCTGAAGCTCAGTCAGCTCGCCATATCTCCCGCATCTCCCAGACCGTATCCGCGTGTGGAAGACTCCCATGTCCGCGGTGCCGTTGCCTCAAAAGCGAAGAGGCACGACCCACCGCGGCCCGACACTGCTGGGGCTTTGCCCGCTGCGGCGTGCTAACTAAGCCCTGTGAGGCCGGGCGCCCGCAGGTCGGGGCTGCTGAATGGGTCGCCGGGAAGCACCGACCGGGGACAGCGCGCAGCCACGGGGCGGTGGTCCTCGAGCGCGAAATCCGATCTCACGGGTCGCCGATGGACCGAGCGTCTCCGAGAACCGGGGCAGAGGGGCGGGGAGCGACGGCAGAGGGGAGGGGCTGTGCGAGGAAGACAATGTGTGAAGATGGCAGCGGTTACGGGGAAGAAAGGAAAAGTCGCCAGCCGGAGATGGAAATAGTTCCCGAAAGGCTGACGTGTAACCTCGAGAAAAGGAGACGCTCGTAAGCAACAAACGAGACAGCCGAGGCCAAATTTAACTGGAAATGCTGCACCTGACAGACAAGTTATTGAACTCTTGTAGCCAGTTCTCGCCCTGTCTGACAAGACTGCTTTCGAAACTCAAGCACGCGTCTGGATGCGACGCAGGCAGGAAGTGATCGAGAATGCGTCTCACGAGGCGGCTTCAACGCAAGCAATGAAGTAACCCCGCGGCTCCAGTGAACGGCTGTCGATTTGAACTGACATGCCGAGTCGGTTACTGTCAGTCTGTCAGCGCCGCTTCAGAGCCTCAGACGAGTGGTGTCTGGCGAGATGCCCCCACTCCCTCCCCCAGGGCGCTCGCTGCTTTCCGAACATCGTAAGCGAGAGATTAGTGTAGTGTGGTAATTTCTCAATCAATCAATACACAGACTGAACAGTCCACATTGCAATTTGCCGCCTCAAGTCATTGAAATTATACATCCTTGAAATCCCCTGCGAAAATGAAATTCATCGTTGACGGAGATGTTGATGAGAGACGCAGGTCTTGCTAAACAAAATGTGTTTATCTTGAAATAAAAAAAGTCCACAAATTTTAAGGATAACACGGCGCACCAAGCACTCTACAGGGTGATTTTTTATACAGGGCAAAAAGTAAAGAGCAATGGCGGTACCAGAAAACACATCAACTGACAGCAAATGTATATCTTTGTAATAAGCACATTCTGACATTTCATTTGCACACACAAACTTTGAGTTTGAGCTCCGTTTAGGCTTACAGAACGTGCTCGAAGTGAGCACAGTTTTAATGCACGCAAGCCTGGAGTAATTGGCGATTTTGGGGAAAACATTTTGTTGTGCGCCATTTTCACGGAACTTCACAACAAAATGAGTCCCAAGAAGTCTTTAAAAGGTCCTGAAAACAAAATGACAAACAATTTCCTTTCACATGGATATACTTTTTTCGCGTTTGTTATATGTTTTGGTATCTCTAGGCTTAAAAACTTTTTGCCCTGTAAAAAAATCACCCTGTAGACCCAAAAAAAAAAGACCATCGTGATCATCCGAAGGGTACTAAGAAAAATGTCAGCTTCTTTGGCACACACTCAAACATGATTTACACCCATGACAGTGACACCGAGGCTCACCATTGCAAAAGACCGGGGACACCAACGATCCCTGAACTGCAGACATGCACCACAGAGGTGTCCACCGCCCGTGCCTACCTTGCAGGGTACGTCTGCACAGTACCTACCTCCACCGCAGGTGGCCGAGCAGGGTGCGATCTCCTTCTCCTTCCAGAAGTGGTGTGCCGTGCTGCAGCTGGATCCGTCGCCGCCGCACACTCCGCACACATCCACTGTGCGGTTTGAGCCGATTCGCAGGTCACACCCGAGAGGCTGGCAGAGAGACGGCGAGGTCAGGTCACGGAGGTCAGGTCAGGTGTTTTAAGTCAGACAAAGTGTTAGTTCAGGTCACCGGGTCAGGTCGGTCAGGCCACACTGCGCAGCTGTTGTGTCAACAGACAGTCAGCTTAAAAAGTCTAGCCCAGTCAGCTTAAAACTCTAGCCCAATCATTCTCATCGTTCGATGAAGATCAGTCATTGCTTCGCCGTTGCGTAACTTCAGCTGAGTCGTTCTGTTTGCTCCATAGATGTTTACCACACACTGTGTTGAACCGATAGGCGCCGTGCAGTGTGCTCTTTGATGTGGTTATTCGCTTGATATGACGTGATATGACGTCATGTGGGTAAAGATATGACGGCGTTATCTGTTATATATGTCTGCTTCACTCTTTCACAAATCTTACAGTTAGCCCTGTAACTGCAATTGGCAGACTTTCAGCAGGTGAATGGCTGAGTGATCCCCACGTAAGTGTAGTAAGACAGGGGCAATGACATGTGCCCAGCTTATCCATTGCGGTAACGTGACGGTGGCCGCTCAATCAAATAAGAAGCTTACTCTGTTAAATCGCGTGTGATGTTTCCTTTGCCGCCCAGCATGTCAGCAGGGTAAGTCGCCACGCATGTCAGAGAATTATTACGCCGGGTCAGGACATAAGATTAACAACATAATTATCCGACCTCACATTGAAGTCTGGAAATTGAATGGCATTCAAAAGATAATGTAACTGAAATGCAACCATCATTGCAATTACTTTCCGTGGCCCAACTGTGAACACAGAAAGAACTTAGGTATGAGTTCGAGGAATTTTAAAGCGATACAACAGCTAGAAATAATTGCGTGCTCCATATATCCAGAATACGGATGGATATGTTGAAAAGCTTCAGAGATGTTTGAAACATTATCAGAATTCAAGTACCATATATTTCACATTTCTTCAAGGCATTAAGTCAACCTTATCTTATCAAGCTAATGATATATCCTTCAGACATTTCAACTGTGCATTTCCTGCAAAGATGATACTGCTTTGAAAGAGCTGTGAATCAATCCAGCCTTCAACACATGTCGTACACTGAACCTCTCAATCCTATCACTTTTACGTGAGTAGTATACCTTCAACGATTATTTTACTCGAGTGTCGCATCGCGACAAATAACTGTACCTCTCCTCGACGGCTTTCATCCTACCGATCCGATCAAGGCTTGGCCATTTCTCCCCGCCCAACGGGGCATCAACCTCTCCATCTCATCGTCTCGCGCCTTCTCGCATGTTTCGCTTCCGTTTCATCCCGGCGTGGGGCGACAGATCTCTGCGGCCATCTCCAGCCTCGCCCTGGCCACGTCGGTTCGCGCTGATCTCTTGTTTTTGCCCTGTCGCCGACAGCAGCGTACAGCCAGCCGCCTCAACGGGATAGGACCGACAGCGGCGACGCAGCGGCGGCGGCGGCGGCGCGGAGGGCGGCGCACCACAAACGGTGATAGCACAAGAAGAAACAACAGAGCCGATGAGAGTTTTTACACCTGTCTGCGTGCCGGCTGTAGCGTCTGTTCATTACTCCGTCAGGCTGACGTCAAGGACCGCTGGCGGTGACCGCTCTATCCGCTCGTAATGCGCCGGCCGGCGGACGACAGCGGTGGATGGAGTGGGTGCGCGACCGCTGTGTCCGGCCCACCCGGCCCGGCCCGGCCCGCTCCGTATTGATCCAATGCAGGGAGCGGGCCGGATTTTCGTGGGTCCTGGCCCGGGGCGGACCGGCTCAGGCTGCTGGCATGCGGCCAACTTCCGTCGACTGTGCCGCCGGCCGCCGACAGAGCGGCGCCTCGGGGCACGGGTCAGACCGGATCTCCGCTGACCCTCTGAGTCATCCGGTCAGCGCCGACAGCAGCCCAAACAACGGGCGCGGGGTTTGCACCCAACCACTTATCCCCGGTGACACTGGACGGACCGACCGGCCAGACAGACGGTCTGGAGAGCGCCGAGACTGCGAGCGCGAGACAGCGAGTGCGACTGAGACAGCGAGCGCGACTGAGACAGCGGCCGTGACCGAGACAGCGGCCGCGACTGAGACAGCGACCGCGACTGAGACAGCGACCGCGACTGAGACAGCGGCCGCGACTCTCAGCCTGACAGGGTAAAACGGCTAGAAACGGCTCCGATTTCGACAGTGTTTTGAATGACATCCATTGGTTTCAGTATTGCTCTCGATTACACAAATGGTAGTCTTGCTGTAGCTGATTTGAAGATAGGCGGGACCAATTAATTATTGGATTAGAGAATAATGCGATTGACTTGTAAGTAAGGCATGTTATGTGTCTAGCATTGAACGACTATCATGCGAATGATTGCAGAATAATTCTGCTCCGCAGCTCAGCTTGAGGTTAACCGATCCTATAAAAGGACATACCCCGTACCTCTCGCACAGAAAGGCTAGATGTGTCATTTAGACGTTGAAAACCACGACCTATGTACGATCTCCTGAATTCATTTCACATGAAGTTAATCACAAATTACTGCAAGTCATATTTCGCAAGAGGTTTTCGCGGGTAAGAGCCTGACAGCCTGGCCTTTCTGGAAACTAACTTTAATTGCATTTTTTAACACCATCAAGCGGAGTAAAATCCCGACTTAAAACTTATTCACCGCATTAGGAGCTGCTCTGTGGCTTATTCTCCCGCCTCATCCACCGGCAAACTTCATCTCCGGCGCAGAAAAACGAGCATTCCTCCTCGCTAGCCCGCCGACTAACGGCGCCACACTGCACAGCGCCGGACTCTGCCGTGGAGCCGCGCCGGCGGCAGAAGTGGCGCACAACTGAGACGTGCCGGCACAAAAACGACACAGTGTCCCGGCGGCAGCAGTGTGCTCCCACGCCGGGCAGATCCCCGCGGCTCTGTTCTGTCTCAGAAGGAGACAACTCCTCCAGCCGGCGGCTCGGCGACAGAACGGAAAACGAAAACGAATTCACGGCCTCGGCATGAAGTATGGGCCATCTTATAAATCACGGCAAATCACCGGTGAATATGGCATTATGTTCTAGAGACTGGACAGATGGGAACTCTGGACGAGCCGCCGAGCGCTGAATTAATCAAACTATATGCAAAATGTCCTAACCCAAAATTGATGACGTCGATTTTTCCATTGGCGCCAAATTGCGAAACGCCTTAGATGGATCCACGTTCCACATACTCAAACCAACAAACAAGAAACGCCGTAAACATGGAATAATATGCATGGATGTGTTTTTTTTTTTTGCTAAATTCAGGGTCAATGAAGACGCTTTATCAAAGTTGGCTGACATGACCGACTTACATTTTTGTTGGAAAGTTAAAATACTCATTTCATTTAGCATGTGATTTCATTATGAAAATCACCGTGCTTCGCGTTGCAAAAGATCGTCAGACTTCCCGTGGCCCCATTCGCAGCCTCTGTATCCAGTTGCACCACCGGCAGTGCGTCCCTCCACCAGTCGGCAGCGCACGGGTCATGGCAGCCGCCGCCACGGATCGGTTCGTGATCCATCGCGGCGATAATAAGAGCCGACGGACCCGGAGCTCTCGGTCGGCCAATCCGTCAGCTCCGCCAGACTGCGACGGCCGGTCGCCGACTCCGACTGCGGCCGCGGCAAAAACAGCCGCCGACCGATCAGTGCGCTCCTCTGGAGATTAGAGGAAAGCCCGTGTCGGTTGATGGAATCTGGGGGGATCTGAGGTGGATTTGATACGCCGGCACCAGGTTCCAGCGCGGCGCGGCTTTGAAAACAGCCTTGCCCCTTCACAAGGTCATCTCGACCCAGATATGAAAACATCGATCGGACTACTTTTCCTGACGGGCCGATATGGAACATCGCTCTACCATTTCCGACATCCGGTCGCTCGATGACGTCATGAGAGCCTATGACGTCACCCTCTCTGTCGCACGTTCCGGGCGTTCCCGTCGTTCGCGGCGGTGCAAATCCGGAGGCACTTCATCAGGGCGGCCGTGCCACTCACGGCGGCCCGGCTTTATCTCTCCCATGAGCGGCCGTAATCAGTAACGAGAACGGCTGCCGCTCGCATCAGCCGAGCTCCAAATTAACGGCTCGCCGCAGCCGCCGCGCCGCGCATCGCTCGCCGCCTTACCACTTTACGGCGGCAGCGTAACGCAGCACAGAGCGAGTTTTATTCATGCCGCCGGTATATCATTCTCGTCGCCGCCGTCGTTGTCGCTGTCGACACCCACACTGCTGCCTACGCTGCTGGGAACACCAAGCGTCGGGAGCCCCTGGTATTAATTGGATGATCAGGCGTCGACGACTCGGGCATTATTCGTCCTGACTTATCGGATCCAAAGCCGAAACCAGAGCGACGACGACAATGCGTTGGCGCTGCTATCTCCGGAGACAAACGTTAAGCCCCGTCGCAGCCGTGGACGGTAAATTCGATAGGGCGATGAACGCTTTCGGATACGACGACGGTTGGAGGCTTGCGAGACCTGTATTTGGGGATTTCCTGCCCTACCACGGATAGTGCAGTCTGCAGTTCAAGAGGTGTTTCCCGATCGACTCAGGGGTTGTGGTAGTTGGGATGGCTGGGGTACAGGAAGTCCTGAGGTGACATGAGGACATCCAAGGTAACACCGGGTATGATCGAGTACCACGGAGTGTCACGCCACTCGGGCAAGATCGACGCCAGCACGCGTCGTCACCTCACAGTGGCATCGACGCGACGTCCATCGACGACCGCTGGCGGCACAAACCATCGCCGTCGTCGTCGTCGTTGACAGTCGATACAACATGGCACGGGTGCCGATACGGTTCAGTAGCACCCCTCCATTGCAATGTGTCGCTGTGTGTCGGATAGCGTGGGTCGTCACAGCTCCTTGATCGGACTGATGGATCGGAACTGACGCGCGGTGGGCGGTGACCCGGCCAAGTTACGAGGGCGAATTCATGACCTCCTGGAATGCATCGATCGGTAGCCGGGCTAAATATCGCCAGAGCCTGTGGTGTCATAGAAGGGCATTGGCGCATATAACAGAATGTATCTCAAATAGTCTCAAAGTGCCAATGCTTATGCCGAAATGGCAACGTTTTGTCAATGCTTTTTCATTTATATCAGTAATTACTTTTACGTAAACAAAATATCTAAACAAACAAAGCTCTGCCGTCTATGTCTGTCTTTGGCCTCTGTCTACCAATCTTCGCAGCTGGTTTCACACCACCCACCTCCTGCGCAATCTCCCACCTCGTCTCACTCACCTCACACTTTCCGTCGATGCAGATGTCCAAGCTCCCATCTCGGCACCTGGTTCCATCGATAACCCTTGGCGAGAGTTGCCGCACCAGGCCGGTGCCAATCGCTCGGCAGGTGAGGGCGCACGGCTCGGTGAGGTCCGGGTAGGGCTCCCATCGGTAGCGGCGCCCGTCGCTGTGCCGACGGTGGTCGTACGCGGCGCACTGAGCCACCCGAGGGTCAGTGGCGTTCACACAGACCTGGAATAGGGCGAGATGGGGTTAGAGGAGACACCGGGAGAATGTGAGATTACGATTCAAGAGCCATATCTCCAACAGATGGCGTTAATAGACAATCACCTGTGGTAGGGGTGGAGCGGGGGGGGGGTAAAAGTATACCCAGCGGCCAGTATGCACATTAGGAAGGAGGGGTGGGGCCAGAAGATGCCCACCTGAAAAAAGGACAATGGGTAAAAAGACACGAACCTGGTATAGGTGAGGTAAAAAAAAAATGCGCGTGTATAAAAAAGCTAGGTGGGGTTATGATTTAAGAGGCATATCTGAAATAAGGCAGAGAGGGGCTAGAAAAAATGCGTCAGGCATAAAGGGAGATTTGCTGATAAATGGCAGGGAAGTGGATAGAATATAACACATAAAATTGGGCTATACCTATCAGATCGAAGGACACAAACAAAGAAGAAGGCGAGGCAAAGGGCGACAGAAGTATGATGGTAAAACGGTTTTCGTGCGAGTTGGTTGCACGGGGAAGCATGTAGGTTTCTACGGCTTTTTAATAAACGTGTCACTGTGCTATTGTAGCTGTTGTAGGCTGTTATAGGCTGTAGTGGCTAATGTTTATTGGTCACTTATAAACATTTTTTCCTGCAAGGAAAGAAATAATGCAAAAACGAGGCTTCCGCTTCCCTGAAATAAGTCAGCATACATCTTGTACTTAAGAATCAATACTGACATGTCACCTACTGCATTATGTGGGTAGCGTAAAGCTTCGAATGCACGGTGGTGTCCAGAGTTCCCCTGAAAATGTTCCTCATTATTCAAAAAAATGAAGAGAAGTTTGCAAGTTGGGCGCTGCCAGATTTTAAAAATGGGATAACTTTTGATCGCATGTCGCGCCTTTGCTATGCTAATGTAGTCACTTAATCCTGGGTTTGGTGCTATTTTAATAGCAAATGTCAGAGCACTGGTCAGGAAGGCAAGAGCGGACAGACCAATTTAGATGATAAATGAGTGATTCATCTTTGGAGCAGTTCGTCATCGAGCATAATTCTGGACGTAATTACACATCACGGCATACGAAAACTTGCAGCTCCGGTTTAACCCTAGAACGCCTAGGGGGGGGGGTTGTATCAACCCCCCCCCTGAGGTTTTTTCGAAGTGCACGCTAAACGGCTTGTCGTAGCGGGCTGAAATTTTCAATGCCTTCTGGGGCAACCTTTGCGCATCTTTTGCCGAAAAAAAATTGATCGGGTCATGTCAGGTCACGGAGTTATGACGTCATAAGAGGTACAGCCTCCGGCCGGATTTTCACAAACTGAGTGCCAACGCCCGAGGTTTCCTGCCGGTGGTACGGACATCGGTTGATGGAGCGTGATGAAACTTCCCATGCATGTTGGGGCAAGTATTGGCTATCATATGGTATAAGAAATTTGACCGGGTCAGGTCAGGTCACGGAGCTATGACGTCACAAGAGGAACAGCGTCCGGTACTATTTTTGAAAAGCGCCCGAACCACTATTTTGCTAATTCTTGTCACCTCAATGGGAATATGCAGCAATATTAGCTTCTATAGGGAGCAAATGGACCTCCCAAATCCAAAAATACAATCAGATTTCAAAAATTTAAATTTTGATTTTTCGAATTTCTGCCGCCGACTGTGACCTTGCCGACTTCCGGCGCTCCCAACGCGCCATTTTTAGAGCTAGGGAAACGAAATACATACCAAACGATAGAGAATTGATCAAGGAACACGATAGTGAAGATTTCAAGTCGATATCTCCCACCGTTTTGCCGCAATCGCCGCCGAAAGTTGAAAAAAGTCTATTTTTCCGAAAATTTGACCTTTGACCGGTCAAAAGTAGATCAAATGTTGACCTAGGACCAAAAAATATACCACCAATCGCGAGATCTCGTTGAGAGCAATCCGTTGGTTTTTTCCGCTAAGCTCTACGACCTTCCGTTTCGAAACGCCAGGGGGGGGGTCGTAACAACCCCCCCCCTGGTCGTTCGTGTTATGAGAAATGGCCTGGTCGTGCGAGGGTTAAAACACATGACTAAGAAAATTATGGCTTGCTAGAATATCTACTGATCAAGTAGAATAATAAGATAGGATAGGATAAGATAGGATAGGTCAAGATAGGATAACGTGCCATACAATAATGACGTCTTAAAAATAGCTTTAACGAAAAACTTTTTTGCACCACCTTTGCCTTGTACGCTTGCACTCGCATGCACTCGCTTGCACATGGTCCGGAATGGCTTATCGCAGCCAGGTCCCGTGTCAAATGATCTCGCTCGTTTTTCCTAGCGACCAATTATGCTGTGCCTAGTGTAAGATGAGCCGTTGTTTTGCTTCTGACAGCTCATTTAAAAAGTTAGACCGCCCACTTCAAAGGGGACCTCTGAACTCAATAATACCTGAGTCGGAGCAGGCCTAAATCACACCCGTGGGCCCCGGGACAGAGAACAGACACGCTAAAGAGACAACCAACACAGTTCGTTGAAGGCTGACCTGCCAGCCAAAAAGCAAAGGACAGGCGTAGTTACAAGAAACGAGGTTAAGTACAACAAATAAGGCTATGCTGTAAATCACTTTATATCACTCATGAAAGATCTATTAGCCACAAAACTAGTACTCTACTGCAGACGGGATAACAAGAAAATTGTTAATAAGAATAAAACAAAATATATCTGACCTTACGGGACATTTCATGAAATTAAATCACCAGAAATAAAATGCATTTAATGACTGGGCAGCAGAATGCGTTTACCCACCACCTAAGGGAACAATCAACCGCTCTGAGGCCACAAGAAACCACTAAGATTAGGTTAACCTACCACCCCCAGCCCATGCAACCGTTCAACAGTCACTTCTAGCAGTCACCATAATGGGCCAATGACCTACAGCTGTGAGTGTATGTCTGTCTGCTCGTCACCAGCGGCCAACAACACACGACTATATCCAGCATGGCACCCTGAGCCGTGGGTGTATGTCTGTTCGTCACCAGCGAGGAACAACGCAAAGCCATCCGGCAGGGCACCTGTCCCTCTGTCGGCATTGTGGTCCGCCGACAACAGTGGCCCATTAGCAGCGCCATGCGACGGCCGAGCCGGGATTCTCACCGGTGTTTAACGTATTGGTGTGTGGAGCAGGTGGACGGTGGATGTGGATGGTGGAAGGTGGACACGGAATGGTGGAGGGTGGATACAAGTGGTGGAGGTTCGAACATTATCTTCACGGCCACTCGCAGCAAGTTAAAGTTCGTAACACAGACGGTTCGATCATGCTTTCCAAGTCACTGCCGATCACATCTGGAGTTTTTCAGGGAGGATCACTGAGCTGTTTATTGTTTTCAATATTTGCGAATGACATGTGTCTCCATGTACCCGATGTTACCCTCGTCCAGTTCGCCGACGATACCCAGCTGCTGATATCTGGGAAAAAGGCGGATCTTGATATCTTGATTGTGAGGATGGAGAAAGCTTTGTCTCAGCTCTTCGAATGGTTTTGTGCGAATGATATGAAAGTGAACGCATCCAAGACGCAGATGATAGTGCTCGGTACGCGTCAGATGCTGAAGGGACTGTCGCCTGTTAGCATTAAGTTTGCTGGAGCCATGATTCACGAATCTGATACCGTCAGAAACCTTGGACTTGTGATTGACAAGAACTTGACGTATCATGAGCATGTCAATCACGTCGCATCGAAGTGTACGGGGGCGCTGCGAGCACTCAACCACGCCAGACATGTGTTGCCACCCTTCACACTGAAGCCGATCGTTACCTCACTTGTCGTGTCCACACTGAGATATTGTATAGCCATCTACGGGACATGCGGCGCCACTGAACTCAGTCGTGTGCAGCGAGTACTGAATTTCAGTGCGCGAGTAGTAAGCGGGCGCCGGAAGTATAGTCATGTGACCGATGTGCTGAAAGATTTGAAGTGGTTGAGCGCGACAAACCTAGCCCGTTATCACAGAATATGTATCGTGCGAACCATTCGACAAACTGGACAGCCGACGAATATCGCATCCAGGCTGGAAACCGCAGACGATCACGGCCATAACACCCGGTACGCACAGCGGTTGCGGCTACCTCGGATACGCACCGAGGCGGGTAGAAGGCAGCTAGTGTATAGCGGTGCCAATGCATTCAATGAGTTCTGTGCGACGTATGATGGCCAGTCGTCCTTTAAACGAGCAGTCAGGGCGCACCTGCTGGCGACCCAGACATAATCGCCATAGTTAACGGTGTGGTGAATCTTCCCGATGATGACGTGAATTTCTGATGTAGTTATGTATGATGAGTGTGTGTTCTCCATCTCCCGTTTTACCATTTCCACGTGCGTTGGTGAAAAGCCGCATGAGAGCGGATTCGACGTGAATAAACGAACTTGAACTTGAGGCGATTGGTGGAACTTGAAATGTGGATGGATCGTTGAGTCGTGGTATAGGTTGATGGGAAATTATGGAAGGTGAATGCTAGTGGTGGAAATGACATGTGAACTGTGGAGAGTGCCAGTGGACATGAGAGGGTGGGAAGTGAACGCAAGTGGTGCAGTTCAACTAACAAGCCGTGACACCCTGATAAAGCTTGTGTCATGATGCCATGACGTAAAATGGTTAATGGCGACAACGGGTGACTGATAGCATCAAGGTCAGACCCGAACGCTTGCACTTACAGATAGCATCAGGTTGTCTGAACCTGGTCGGCAACAGGTGCGGAGGTGGATTGTTGGCATTGCTGATCCGCCATACACACGATAACCATTGATCATCAAGACTATCGGCATTCCTTTCACGCTCTTATCATAACAAATACTTATAGTTCTTCCTATCTTATCATAAAACAATGTAAGCAGAAATCAGATGCAATCAAATGCTGCACATCAAGTGCACTTCAACAACGATATTTTGACCAATACCCAAGTCTCGGTCGGTACCCTCTCCCCGGCTTTCCCATCATTATTCTGTGGCGTACCCTCCTCAGCCATCAGACGCCACGGGAAGCCATCTTTCGGAGAAGTTTCGCCCCTTAACCTCAGTTCGACCAGAAGCCCCCATCCAGCGCCATCGCCTCATTATAACCGACAAGTTATGACGGGGTGCGACTAATTATGCGCTGAATGGCCACACGACTGACCGCCGGGTCGACGGAGGTCATGACCTGTGACCTCCCCCACCCCCTGGAGGTCTCTAGCATTGGTAACGAGGTCGGATCAACACCGTCTGTGGTCAGTTCGTCAGGTCACGTTCGCAGGAGAACCGACGTGCGTCCTGTTTGCTACACAGGCCCCGCGTCAAGCCTGTCAAAATGTGTCTGCCATGACTGAGCGATGCGCTAGTCTGAACGATCGCAGCGGCTGGGGCAGCATTGGTGAGACGCCTTCAGCAGCTACGGTAGCTCCCTGTCAGAGCAGCAGCTCCTCGTAAGCCAAGGCATTTAAGACCGGAAGAAACCCATTATTTGCGACTACAAACGGTGTCTATCGATTATGCGCGGATGAACTGGCGTTAATTTAGGCTGAAAGTCGAGAGGACGATTATTCAAGACGCTTCAGGCGATACGGAACGGGTGGGAAGGAGACGGGGCAAGTTTTGGAAAGGCAGAGTCCGTGGAAAGGCAGAAGGACCGCCCGAATCAATTCTTGACCAAACACGTTCTGAGTGCCGGATAAAATAACAATAATGATTTATGCCGTTAGGCATATACTAGTTAGTAAACAGCATAATGACAGCTTCTCAAGCATGCCTTATTGCTTGGAAAGCTAGAAAACCATTTAGTGTAGATACTAGATATAGATTATAGACGCTTGCTATTTGTTATATCATGAACTCTATCTCCATAAGACTATTAAGTTTGACGCTCATTTCACACGTTTCTGCTAGAACCGTAGTATGGCCATTTGAAACGATTCATTCTTCCGCAAAGCTTACGTGTTTCCATTAACCCGCGCCCGGCTGGGGGTCCTGGATTTCCACGCCCTGCTGGGGGGGGGGGGTGTTCAAACACCCCCCCTTCTAACTCGGCTCCTGGGCCACGTAGCGATACGCCGAAGGCGGCGTTCGAAAGAGCGTCAAAAATAATGACGAAATCACTCCAGTCAATTTTTTGGTCAGGTCAAAGGTCAGGTCACCAGAGGTCATTGAAGGCAAAATTTCGCCGATTTCCAGGTCGAATGTCGACAATTTCCAACAAGCCAACGCATAACTCGGGAACCAATAGAGCTACAGCGCCGCGGAAAAGCGCATTCGATAGCCCTGTTAACGCCCTTTCTGAGTAATTCCTTCAGATTTGACCTAACGTCAACGGTTTTGCCTGCAGGGGGCAAAAACTGCAAAAATAGCCGATTTTTTTCGGAAACAGTTTTTCTGCAATAACTTTTGACCCAAGCCTTGTACGAGCTTCCTTTTACCGGCATCGTGTTCCTCTCGTCAAGACGCGTCGAATGAACTATAACTTGACCTTTAAAGGTCAACTTGAAAATTTGACCTCAGGTCAAGGTCATGACCTGACCGGGAAGGGTCATGTTGCATATCAGTCGATCCGTATCGTCGAGCTGAACACATCTAAGGCGTTTTCAGCGCTCTAGCATGCCTCTATCAAAAGTTATTTGCGAAAAACTGTTAGATACCATTCGTGACCTAAGATGACCTCAGGGCATAAACAGGGGTCATGGACATCATTTTCATGTTCAGTGTGCCTAAACCACTTGTAATTCAGTGTTTGGGAGTGTTTATAATGTCCTTCGTCATAAAGAGGCGCATTTCAATTTTCTCCCATTGACTTATAATGGGGAGGTCGCAAAATTGACCTGACCTTAGGTCATCGATATCAAAATTCTGAGATATACATTTTGTACATGCTATTGCTCTTAGCAATCGCTGAAAGTTTCAAAGCGATCGGTCACTCGGTGTAGCTTTGACAGACATTGAAACTTCTTATGAGGTGAGGTCACTTCAAGTGACCTGGTGACCTGACCTTGAATGACCTTGGTCTGAAATTTTCACAACATGTGTAGAATTGATGTATGATAAGGTGTACCAAAAACGGCGGCGCTCCGCGCCGCCGTTTTTGAGATATTCGCGAAAAACCACAAGGGGGGGTGTTCAAACACCCCCCCCCCCAGCAGGGCGCGGGTTAATACGGACGTATGTCGGCGTGGTCGTTGCTTATTGACTGCGCTCTGGCTCTAACGCGGACCAAGTTACCTGCAGAAACCGGCCGCCTCCGCCACTGTAGTGGCTCCACCAAACAACTTTATTAAAAAACGCACGGCGTCAGCAGACGCGAGACCAAGAAAATATCACGTCCCTCTGCGATATAAATTTCTCCCGGCACGAGATGGGGCCGGAGGTCGGCGACGGCGGAGCGGGGGAGCTGACTCAGTCTACCGGGAGACAACCGCGCGTAGTCGGGGAGTCAAGTGAGTCGGGACTCTGAGTCAGCTAATTTGAAGAACCGAACAATTCTTCATTGTTTAGACTCACGTCAAAATACATCGTATATGCTGAGTTTTAGAGCAGCTTGAGGGAAAGATTAGTCTTCATAATAAACATGTTAGCAATGTAACGATAAAACAATAGGTATAGTTACCTTGGATATCCGTGAAAAATGCAAAACGATGCATAAGCTGTGTTGCTCGTTGAAATTTGAACCATAAACATCCAAACAATAAACCTGCCTAACTCCATCTAGTCCTCGAAAATCATCCTACATTTCAGCTCTAAACAAATCCACACAAGCGGAGAGCATAACGGTTGCGCTCCCGTGCATTCCGGTCGCCGTGGAGCACTTGCCGCTGAACTAGCACGCCGCTCACAGACTCTGGATGACGGACATCCCTGGTTTTACGGCAGGATGGGCCGCTCAGTCTGGACAGGTCGGGCGGTCTGGATCGGTCGACGGGTCAAACCATCAGGAAATGAGCCGTGTCAGTGCGGCCCGGAGCTCAGATGGACCGGCACATCGACGATGAACGACCGGTCAATGGAGGCGCCACCCAGCTAGTGGGCATACCCAGAGCGTTTACGAGATGAAGAGGGTGACGGATATCGTGACGGAAAAGTTGAGGGGAAAAGTGACGGAAAACGTGACTGAGAACGTGACGGAAAACGTGACGGAAAACGTGACGGGTAACGTGGCGAAGAACATGACGGAAGTATAGAGCGTTACAAAACGTGACGGAAGAAGCGATGGAGAAGAGTTTGATGAGGAGGGCAGAGCGAGCAACAAGGAGAATGGTTGTGCTTGCGGGGAAGGTGATAAGAGAGTTTGGAAAGAAATAAAGAATCACAGAAAATTTGATGGAACTCCCACAAGTAATGTGACAAAGCGACGGAATCGGTTGCAAGGAATGACACAGGGCGGCTGATGACTGACCTGCATGTTGCACATTTGCCGGCGCACGCCCAGGCCGGGACAGCCGTGTTCCCGGTGACAGATGCGCGTCTGTCGCGTGACGCCGCCGTCACAGGGCTGGCTGCACGGACCCCAGTCGCTCCACTCTGTCCAGCCGTCAACCTGAGGACACGAGATACAGACGTCAGCTTGAGGGCACCAACAACAGACGTCACCCTGAGTGAACGACCTAAAGGCACCAAATACAGCCGTCAAATTGAGGACAACATATCAACCTTTAACCTGAGGGAATAAGATAGCGTCGTCTACCTGAGTCAGTCAATCACTGACAAGCAATATTTAAATTATGTTTCTCTACCGGCATCTTAATCATGCCAAGTCGGGCACGGGGTAGCTCCGCCACAATCTTCAGGGTGGTCCATGAGCAGTGAGCACTGAGCAGCAGCACTAAATTGTAGCCGGTGGTCCAGACATTACAGCGTAACATGCTATCGGTATATTTTCCTTTGCACACCTCAGCTGGCCGTTAAAAACGTTGCGAAAGCTCTCCATCAGAGCTCATGCCAGCGCGGTGAAATGCTCCACCCGTACCAACTGCCAGGTCGGCCGATTGAGCGCTACTCTCGGCACGCCCTAATCCCCAATTATCAATCAAAGGCCGGACCATCGGCTCCATCTGTCGGCTGCGACAGCTCGACTGGCAGTGTGCCTCCACCCCGCGTGGGCTGCCGCAGCTCGCAGTGGCAGCCATCCCCTTCCCCTCCCTCGCGCCCCGCCGTGGACCCCCCCTCCCCCTTCCCTCGCCCCTCCACCCCGCGTGGGCTGCCGCAGCTCGCAGTGGCACCCCTCCCCTCACCCCATCCCCTGTCTCCCCCCCGCGGACTATCACCGGCCACGACAGGTCTCAGCGCCAGAAAAGGCTCCCGGGCTACCGCAGAAGCCACGGGTGATGGCTTCCTCCCGGGGCGAGTCTGTGTGTTCTTGGCTCTGTTGGGACACCCGACGTACCAGGTAGCTATTTATGAGATACCACATTAGCTGTGTTGTTGGTAGTAATTACATTGCCCAGATGTTTGTAAGGTGGCGAGTAGTTACGGATGCAAAACTTCAGTTAAGTTTCGTCTGCTCTTTGCACCTCGTTCTTTTTTAGGAAATCGAAGAAATTATGAGCTGTGTTTTACAGCCGGAGTGTTAGCAGACTTTTAAGCAACTATAAAAAATAACAGGTACGGTGGTATTTTTACAGTCTTCATCGGCTCCGATACAAAATATTAATTCATTCTTCAAAATACCAGCCGACCACGGCGCAGTTATGTGCAAAGTACCTTCCGAATAACTCAAGTGAAGTGTTACCTAAATACCTATCCCGGTAGTTCCACTGGCAAGTAGTTTCAGCAGGTAGTTCGGTTCGTGCTCATACGCAATTAAAAGCCTCCTTTACTCTGCCAAGTTGGCTCTTCACCACTGGCAAGAATGATCCCGACAGGAATGTTCTGAGTAACACACCAAAAACCATGCCTTCTGCTGAATATCACGTGTAGGCTGTACCCATGACTCCGTTGTGGAGTTTGAACTTTGTTGAATGCCATCTGTACCATCAAAGTTCCGGTGAATGTCGCTCAAATTCCGTTGAATCCATGAAGATTCTCGCTCAAATCCGTGCCGAATTCGTGCCGAATCCCATCCGCACACCGCCTCTGTGACATTCCTCCATTCCATGACGCCGCAGGGCCACATCAGGCAGGAAGGGCTTGTCGCCGCTCCGTTTATGCAAATTGTGACGCGCGGGCGACAATCTGGTGTCTCGGGAGACGGTCGGCATCTGCAGGGACGCATGACGAACAGGCGCCGCCGGAAGGCGACATCACGGGAGAGAGAGGATCACCGCAACCGGCAAGTAACACAACCTGGTGGGAGAGGGGATTTATATTTTCTTGGTCGCACAACTTGCATATGGTAAAGTAATGGCTTAACTTTACTTCAAAACGTTTAAATTTGTATTTAGACAATCATGGACGATGTGCTCTGCAGAGGACCATATCAAATCTTTCAATATAAGTTTGTCAGTGAATTTAGGATCTTTTAATGAGAAAGTGAAATTAATAAGTCGGTAGTTTCATTGTCACTTCGAGACAGGGCATGCTTCAGTCAGCTCTATTGATCAACTGATAGACTTTTGTCTCTCCATGTGTCTGGTGCACAGAAGTTTATGTTCCAGTGCAGAACCATAGTTTCACGGGACTGTAATTTGCCACAGTGCTCACTTCACAGGCATGTTGAAGCTGACCTCTGGAGTTAGTTAGGGTGTCGTTGGAGACAGGATTGTGGGCAAAAATTTGCCACTGATACCCTATATGTCACCCTGTGTTCAACGAATCAATTTGATTGATTTCCTCGTGGTCGTTTAACACACGGGCGTAGGAACGTCATGAAAAGTGGGTGGGCCACCCTGTCAAGGGCCCTCCTTTTCCAGGGGGCCTCCTATTTTCAGGGGCCTCCAACTTTTGTCTCGTCCTGCTGGCTGCTTTCAAGTATGACCTCCAAATCTAGCTTCTGAGATCGAGCAGATGTACCCAGGGGCGTAACCAACCCACGCCCCGTAAGGGGGGGGGGGCCAAAACGGCCCCTCCCTGTTCTTTTCCGTCGATATCTCCTAAACGGCTGGAGATATCGGCACCAAACTTTCAGATCCCCTCAAGTCATCAATTTTACACATTGTGACAAAAACTTTATCCAGAGGCTATGATAGGTCGCCCACAAATGACGTCAGAATGACGTCATGTTCAGTCATTTTCGACCGAAAAAAGACCTTCGCAAGAAGACCTGTCAGGCCTACAGCTTTGAAGATACATAAAAATGATCAGGCATAAAAGGTGTAGAATTGACAGGTCTACAAAACTGCTATCTCGGATTTTTGAGATTTTTGAGTTTTGACCCCCAAAAATCAAAAATGCAATTTTTGGATATATTAGCCGAAAAATCAAAAAAGTTTTTTGAGTTTCGAAAAAAACCGGAACACATGTGATAGTACCTACCGTCTTCTATCGACATACCAAATTTCATATCGATACCTTGTTTTTTGGCCAAGTTATAGCGAAAAAAAATTGTTCAAAAATGATGACGTCAAGTTTTCAAACTCAATTTTGGGCAATTCTAGACCTTGTAGAGCAGAACAAAGACCACCATTAGACTCCCCGTGACGAGCTGCATCGAATCGATACCCATTTTATGCAAAAATTTCAACTTTGAAATTTGACCTAATTTGACCTGACCTTGACCTGACCTTCACCAAAATGTGACCCAGGCTGGCCCAAAAGGCTGCCTAACCCACATAATCGCATTTGTCATGTAAAATGGACCATAAAACATGTATCACACCACACTTTCATATTGTGACCCCCGGTGACCTGACCTCGCTGTGACCTGACCTGGGATCAGTGACCTCAGATAGCAAAGTATGTGTTTGACGAACAATGTACCATCGATGGTTTTCAATAAATTACCAATTTACTCGATTTCACAACACATTTCTTGAAATGCCTGTGAACGGTGAAAATCCGACCTTTGACCTGACCTGTGACGTCATCGGTTTGACCTAGGTCAATGAAATTCGGTCACAAGGTAGTTCCCCGTTGGGGCTATTGAACACCGTTTGAATTTTGAAAATCGGCCCGTAAATTTCCGAGATCTTAGGGGGGGGGCGAAACGGCCCCTTCCCTACGGGTGGTAGGGTCCGTCGATAGCCCTACGGGGCGCGGGTTAATTAAGGGAACAGTGCGGAAAGTCCGCACCATTTTTAAAACTTATTCCCCCTCCGATTTTTTTTAAAGAATCTATTTGCCGCAAATGGCGCATGACCCCTGAAAACCCTTACAAAAATGTCTTCCTCGTTTCCCAGGTGCCCCCATTAGCTTCATAGGCGCCCTCTTTGGCATATAAGCGCCCTATGTATAGTCATCAGAGACATCCCTATACCTATGTCCCACAGTCGCCCCGTTGTCGCACACAATGTGCGCTTATCATAGGCGTCTCTCTTTTATGGACACTTGAAGGCGCCTCTCTTTGCCATGCCGGCGCCCCTATTTCTTATGAATGCACCCCCATGGCATTGATCAATTGCATTGCAGACCTCTATTGCATGTGGACGCCCATATATGTAGGCCTCAGAGGCGCCCCTCTTTCGCATTGAGGCGCCCCTATGGGCTTCATAGGCGCCCCTATGGGCTTCATAGGCGCCCCTCTATTGCACGTAGGTGCCCTACTGTCTCAGAACCGCTCCCCTTTTGGCATGCAGACGCCCATCTTTCGACGGAGGAGCCGCTGTGGTTCTTAGAGACGGCATGGTGCTCCCAGACGCAGATGGGGCTCTCAGAGTCAACTGTGTGGGACCTTCAGTCGCTGATGGGTGCCTGCCAGATGTGGACCCTCGGAGACGCCGGTATGGGGCCCTCAGAGATGCCGGTATGTGGCCCTTAGCCTCTTGAGTCCCGCCAAGTAGCCCATGAATGGAGAGCAACGAAACTTTTTTGGCTGAGAGCTTTGGTGCCAATAATGACCAGATTGGTGACATTTCAGCCGTGAAGGTCATCGCGCATGCGCAATGACATGTATACTGGGATATACAAAAATACTCAAAGCCTATAAAATCTGACTGAAATGCAACCAATGAAAACTTCCATACAATCACCAAAGCGTATTTTTTCGTTTGTTTAGGGCGTAAAATGGCTAATAGTATTGACACGTTTAATTATCAACACCGCTCGTCCTTAACTTCCGCTTCTTCTGCCCCTTGCCCACTGCTCTTAGGTCTTAAGTTGCCATTTCCTTTGAAGATATGGAACTTGTAGCACATGTTGCGAATCGATAAACAGTAGAGGAAGACCTTGCAGCATTATCTGAAGCGACATCTCTAAAAAAAAAATCGCCGTATGGTGTGTTTTAGAGAGGTGCTTGCCTATGTCATTGTGCTAAGGGGTCGGATTCTAATTCATCGGGCGATTTATCAAACTTTGAGTGAGGATCTACGGTCATTGAGGTCGCCAACGATTCGAAGAATGTCAACGCTCAACCACAGAGCCACTTGAAGGCATAATGTTGTTTGTGAGCCACAAAAAATGGCTTTAACTAACCCAGCAACCATGTATACTGCAGTATACATGACTACACCTTTTGACAGTTAATTTCGGTGCGAACTTGTCCATTTTAGAACTAGCGGATTCTTTGTAGACATCCCGCAATATTATGTACAAGAACCGCATAATATCTCGGCACCAATCAGGCAGTCGGCAATATGGCATTCAATTTCGGCACAGCGGCAATCCGCTCCATATCCGGCGATAGCGCAAGTAGAATCGGCGACGCCAGCGCAGGTTTGGAGGTAGCGCATGCTATTTAGCAACAGTTACAACCAAATTCGGCGCTGTTCATTCAATTTCGGCGGGTAACTGGAGGCACCCAGAGAGTTCATTTTTGGAGGAATGTTTTGAGAGGGCTGAAGGAATCGTCCAGTCAGTTTTTGGTTATTTTTAACGTCGTGGGAGAGGGATAGACCCTCTATAATTAGGTACATAATAATTACATATATGTTATTTCACAAGAACCTTGCTGGCGCAGTCTTTTTCGTGTATTGGGTGCAGCAACATATTAAATCTTGTAAATCAATTTCACAGCCCTTCACGACGTCACAACCCCCAACAACCGTATCCCGTAGGCCCTATTCTTACGTCATAATTAAGGTATTGCCGAGCAAATTTCAACAGCCGCAGTATTGGAGCGTTAGTAGCGATTTTTCGCGTTTGTCGTTTGTATAATTATATGTAAATCGATGATTTGGCATTGATTTATAAACAAGATGAATGAGCTGGTTCCATTTCACAGTGTAAAAAAATCGATTTTTCATACCTTTATTTTCCACATTGCAAATAGTAGACGAAAGCCTGCATCAAACGCAACGCCTCAGGTGGGTTCAATGGCTTGGGTGTTTCTTCATATATACATACTCGTATGTGTACACATATGTTACCTTCGCCATATTCGCGGTACAGGGTAGGGTACGCATAATAACACAAACTTAGTTACTTATCCATCAATACTTAATCCTGAACTGAACGCAAACAAAAAACACATTTATCCTGAAACCACCTTTGACCACAAATCCTACAGGATCTTGAAGCTCGTAGCTATGCTCTGGCTCACACCAGCATGTTCTCTCCGGCAGCACAGGCAGGCACGTGCCAGTTCGCAAACTGGTACTCGTTTGCCACCTTCTCCTGGGTGACGGCGCCCATGGAGTAGACGATAGCTTGCCGGAGCAGCTCATCCCGCCACGCCTTCACTGTGAATCCAGCCGCTGTCGCAGCCTCTCTGCTGTTGAGCCGAGGCTGCTCTTCAGCCAGCCGCCGCTTTGCTGCTGACTTCATGACACTGAAGCAGTTCTCAATGGGATTGAGAAAGGGTGACCACGGAGGGAGCTTGACCACCTCCTGGTTATCGGGCATCACCACGAGCTGCCCGATGTTGTGATGGCAGGGGGCGTTGTCCATCACAATCTTGATCGGATCATGTTCACCGATGATGGCGCTCAGGCTCTGCATGAAGTTGGCGAACTTCTCTCGGTTCACGCCGCCCTGCACGACCTCGTAGTAAAGCACGCCATCGGCATGCTGGTCGGAAATGGCAGCGATGACGGAGGTGTTGGCTCCCTTGGACCCACACACGGTGCGGATGGCTCGCTCGCCCACAGGTGCGCGACCTCTTGTGCGCATCGTGTAGAGGTTGAAGCCGGTCTCATCAACGTACACGATTTTTGCCCCAGGGTGCAGTTCCATTCGCCAGTTGGCGTATGCCATCCGTGCGGCCTTGACCTCTGCTGAGTTTCTTTCAGCAGGCTGGGGCACAACCTTCTTGAGGCTGATCAGAGCCCCATGAAGGCTCCTGGATATTGTCGAGGTGGACACTTGCTGTTTTCCTGGCCATGTGTCCCGCAGAATGCTGTTCAGCTGGTTGAGCGTCAACTGTGGGTTTTCTTCGATGCACATGACCAGCAGGTCAATGCTCTCGTTGTCCAGCTTGGCTGGCCGTCTTCCTCCACGCGGAAGTGTAGCCACAGCTCCCGTCCGGATATAGCGGGCGATGATCGACCAGGCTGTCCCGCGACGAATCTGCAGCTGTTCTGCGACACGATAATAATCGTCGCCATCTTCATGGGCTCGAATAAGAGCTGTCCTCTCTTCCAATGTAGCCCGCCTGTATTGACGTCTGAGCGCCATGGCCCCACCTTAAACACTGACTAATTTCACTAAAAAAGCAGGGCGTTAAAATAATTAAACGGCCTTCAGCCAATCATAACAATATTAGAATAAGTTCTACCAATCCGGTATCACTCACCGGCTCGTTTTATCTCCTATTGATCAACCGCCATGGTGTAATATCTGTAGTCTGTGCGTGGCGCGGCACCGCTTTAATGTCACGTGCTACCGCTCCTCCCCTCACCGTCCTACCACCATCAAAGACGGCGCCAAATTCGTAACACTCAGGCTCGTGCCACACGCCCCCCCCCCCCCACACACACACCATCCCCGTCATCAAACGCTCCTGCCGACGACTCGACTGTCCAGCCTTGCGCTCCGAGTTCAAACCCTTTGAACAGCCGCCCGGCCGACACCTGGCGCGTCCCGCGCACGTGCGGGGTTAAAGTTCAGCAAACACGTGCCATGACACCTGTCGGCTTGGCTTTATTGTGCAGCCGCCTTCAGTCTAAGCAGTGACCGCTGTCAGTTCGTGCGTAATGGAAGTTATTTCATGTTTATTTGAACCACATTACCTAACTATGTACATACATGCATCACGTCATATTCGTCACTGGATAGTGCCAATGCATTTGGCGGTCTGAAAGGAGAATGAGAAGGAGATAATGAAACAGTAATTAAAGGAAAAGCCATGAAATATGCTTGAGAAAGTCACAGAGTCATAACAAGCTTATTATGTAATTAAGGAGTTTCTAAATGCTTCCAAACAGCCGGCGAAATTGAATGAATAGCGCCGAATTTGGTTGCCGCTGCTTCAAATATCGTGCGGCAGTCTCCAATCTCCGGCTGTATCGCCGAAATACATTGCAGATACGCCGAAAACGGGAGCCTTTCGCTGGGCCGCCGAAATTAAATGCTCTAATGCCGATCACCGGTATAAGCGGCCGACATGCAATGCTTTACTGATACATAGCTTTGCGGGATGTCTACAAAGAATCCGCTAGTCCTAAAATGGACGCGTACGTACCGAAATAAACTGACAAAAGGTGTAGTCCTAGGCACAGTCCGTTGTATACTGACGTTTACATTTCTCCGTCGTGCAGGATCCCGTTGGTCACTCGGGTGTACATTTATTTTTTCAGAGGTCAATTCCTCCCAATAATTGTAGTGCTAGGTACTCCTTAAGCACACCTCAAAATTTTTCGGGCCAAGGACATTTGTATACCTTAGTATACATGAACTTTAATTCTTTCTGGAAAAGTTTCAAACACACAATTTTGTTTACAAAACCTGCAAGCAATGATCAACAACGAATGGTTATGTTAGCAAAACAACAGTTTTCGATGAGTCATACTCTTAAAAAGAAATAACAGGAAAATAATTAGGAGACGTACCTCTATGCTGCGACCGCCGAGATACCGGGAAGATTGAAGCGCTGAGGCGTCAACAAATTCAAGTTGAGGATATAAATTCAGCCACCAGGTGGCGGACCATGGCATGAAGAATGCAACGCATGGCCATGAAATAGCCTAGCCATTAGTGAATTCCGTAGAGATCGACTTAAGACGATGTATATCCCAGTATACAAAAAGAACCAAGAGGTTAGAGACACCGGTGTGGAACCCTCAGATACTTCAGAGTGAAGCCGTTACAATTGCTGGTGTGGAGCTATGAATGTGCTGGCTTAAATCCCTCAGAGGCCGGTACATGGACATTAGAGCTCAGTGACAGCTTGTGTGGTGCCTTCAGTGGCCTTGTGAAGCCGTTAGACATCAACATGGTGCTCTCAGGAGCCGGTGAGTCCTCAGAGTCACCGGTGTGGGGCCTTCAGAGCTCCGAGATACTGGTGTGGGGCCCTCAGAGGTGTCGGTGTGGGTCCTTCAGATGTACCTATAGAGTCTTGAGATGCACAGGTGTGGTGTCCCACAGAGGCGCCGGTGTGGGGCCCCCAGAGCCACCGATATAGGGCCCTAATAGACACTAGTATGACCCTCAAAGGCGCCGCTGTGTGGCGCTCATAAACACTGGTGTGGAGCCATCACAGCCGGGTGGAGCTGTTAGAGCCCGGAAAGGGCCCTTAGATGCCTACAAGGGGCCTTCAGAAGCCGGCGTGGCACCCTTATGGGGATAAGCGTGTCTACTTAGGAGCCCTTGAGGTGCTCTCATGAGCTCTGTGGGGCCCTACCGAGCCGAAATATGGCCACGGCCAGTTGCCGCCGCATGGCTCTTCGGACTATCATTCTCAGGGGCCTCATCTGCCTAGTTTGAATAGAAGGGCCTCTCAGACCATCAGTCTCATGGGCCTCCTCTGGCTAGTATAAATAGAAGGGCCTGTTAGACCATCAATCCTAGCGGCCTCCTCTGGTTAGTATAAATAGAAGAGCCTCTCAGACCATTAATCTCTGGGGGCTCCTGTGGACAGTATAAATAAAAGGGCCTCTCAGACCATCAGTCTCGGGGGCCTCCCTAGAAAAGTGTAAATGTGGATAGAGGGCCCCCTCAGATTCATTAGGAGTGGACCTCTCTGACTATCAGTCTCAGGGGCCTCTTGTGGCCAGTATGAATATAAGAGCCTCTCAGACCATCGGTCTCAGGGGCCTCTTCTGACTGGTGTGGATAGAGGGCCCTCCCAGGCCACCGGTTTCAAGGGCCTCCAGTGGCCAGTTATATGAACAGAAGGGCCTCACAGCCACCAGCCTCGGGGGCCTCTTCTGACTGGTGTGAATATGAGGGCCTCTCATACCATCAGCCTCGGGGGCCTCCTCTGCCTAGTGTGAATATAAGGGCTTCCCAGGCCATCAGTCTCAGGGGACTCTTCTGACTGGTGCCGGATTGAGGGACCTCCCAGACCGAAAGTTTTGGGGGTTTCCTGTGGCCAGTATGAATAGAAGGGCCTCTCAGTCCATCAGTCTCATGGGCCTCTTCTGCCTGGTGTGATTATAAGGGCCTCTCAGGTCATCAGTCTCAGGGGCCTCCTCTGACTATAGTGTGGATGGATAGGCCTCCCAGACCATCAGTCTCAGGGGCCTCTTCTGACTATTGAGGATAGAGGGGCCTCCTCTGACTAGTGAGGGTAGGGCCTCGGCTAGAACGCCAGTGTCAGGGGCCTATTCTGACTAGTGTGGATGGAGGGGCCTCCCAGACCACCAGTCTCAGACCTCTGACTAGTGTGGATAGAGGGGCCTCCCAGACCGCCAGTGTCAGGGGCCTCCCCAGACCAGTGTGGATATTGGGGCCTCCTCAGATCCACTAGGGCCTCTCAGGCCATCAGTCTCAGGGGCTTCGACTGACAAGTATGAACAGAGGGCCTCCTTGGATCCATCACGGCCCCTTGGAGTCCGTGCGTGGGGATTCGTGGAACTTATTTTTACCGAGTTTGTTTATTCTGGAAGATAACGACATCCTCTCAAATCGAGACGAGGGGCCTCGAGTAAAAAGTGGGTGGGCCAAAACACATGGTTGGCCCCCCCGCCTCGAAAAGTGGGTGGGCACTTGCCCACCTGGACCCCCCTGTTCCTACGCCTATGGTTTAACATAATATGTATTCCCATTTTGCTCCTTGAATGTCCGTGTTATCAGTTTTGAGGCAGTCCATGTCTGGGTCCCAATGAGATAAAATCTGTCTCTGGCAAGTGGCAATCACCAAACGCATCCCATTTCATTGCAGATTTTGCGAAGTCAGTCAATGGAACATAATAGCTAAATTTTGTGAGAAAATGAATGCCTTCCGATTTTATGCCATCAGTTTCGTTCCGCATGAATGCTAGTCTAGGTTTTCTGGAATGCTCAATCAGGCGAGCTTAAAAGTCTTATTCATTATTTCAGCTCGGGTAGTTTGACCGACCACGAACTGGCTACTGACCGCTATATATAACGTCACAAAATCCAAAAAAGATTGGATCATACCCAATAAAAAAACGAAAGGGGAATTCTAGCCACCCAAACATCATGCACCGCTCGTTCCATTACTGGGGAGGCTCTTTCTGACTCACAAATGCATACGTTTTTGGCTATCGCTTCCGTAAGTATACATATGTACTGAGGGCTAATAGTGGTCCCACCATATGTCGGTATGCTAACAGCACTTGGCCATGTATCGGACAACAGTGCCACATGCTCTCTGGCCATGCTTAGAGCATGACCGAACGTAGCTCTCTGTCTCTCTACTAGATCAAAATTATAGGTGGTCCCTTGTTCCTGGCTCGGTAAATCCCTCACGACCAGCTCTCCCAGCTTTCTCGCTTCACTACAACCTTGCATCAATCCTCTTTGTTTGATATCCATCAGACAAAACAACAGCACAAGACGGAGAGAGATGTGCCGTGCAATATTTAAACTCATTTCAAGACACGGAGTTGAAAACAGAATCAGCGCATAAAGCAGGTGAGCTGCCGGCGGCTGTTGAAGGAAGGAGTTAAAAGGCAGAAGCCTTGGATCGATCGAGGGTCTACCGTCTTACATCATAACTGTGAAGTGAGAGATATGCCAGCCGGGCAGACTGATGAACCAGAGCAGAAAAAATCTACTGGAAAACACTAAAGGCCGGAGTGTTGTACTTACAAAAAGGGATACGAAATCCATGTCCTCTTTGAGTGTGAGAATTACGTAAGACCATGGCATTGCACAACAGGAGGAAACGCTAATCAGAGCATAATGCGTCACTTTCCTTAGAAGGAGAGTCACATGGAGAACAGTGGCGCTATATCAGCGCGCTTTACAGAGTGTTTCAGTCTGCGACAAACAAGGCCAGCCTTGTTGTCCAGACGGCACTTGACCCCGGCGATCCGCAGCTCCCGTCCCGCAGTGCGTAGGCGAGATATCGGGGCGGGGCGGAACTCACTCCGAGTGCCCCACAATCCTCCGACCCGCACGCAATGTTCTGACATGAATTCCAGACACACACCGGCACGCCACCGACACCAAAACTGACACGCTGCCTGACACTGTATGAGTGTTGACAGGCCGTCGGACAAATGCAGGTCACGTGTCTGTGAGACACGCGGGGTGGCTCACCGACCGCGAGGCAGGTCAGTTGAGACTGATGTGGGCCGGCACCAGCCACAGCGGAAACATGAGCGATGAGACAGCTGGAGTCCAGCCTCCGACATGCATTTCCACGGCACGTTTTTGGATGAACTGAACCACAGACGCCGTGATGATTGAGTGCTTACAAATAATGAGGAAGGCGACGGAGACCCACAGCGCTTCCCTTTGTTCCGTTTCACGCTTCCTCTCTCCAGGAAGTGTGACCGCACCGATGTCCTCATTCTTTGCTGACACCAGCACGACCTGCTGGTGTCAGGTGACACGACCTGGAGGACACTGGGACGGACAGGACAGGACGAGGGCGCAGCGACGATATCAAAAGGGCGTGGTCGAACCGAGAGGGTGTGACCAAATAATTTATTCAGAGATGTTTCGTGTGATTTTAAAGGACGGCGGTGGCTGGCAGCAGAGAGTAGCCGTTTGGTATAAAATGGACCTCGCTGTCGCGTGTTTTAAATAGATGTACCAATATATCGAGCTGAATGGGAGTGGAGATCAGGTGCAATAATATTAATTATTTATTTGGAAACTCTACGCAAATGGTTGGTGTTTCTAGATTAGAAGGGCGCGTCAGAGGTCAGAGCCTTCGAAATAAGAGTACTAGCTAATGTTTTGTGCAAGGTGCTCAATCGTGGTTTGTGTGAATTCTCCACGAAACACTGATAACCGCATTCTGGTTATAGCGTTTACATAAGCTATTTGCATTGGCAAATTGCATACTGCAGGCTGATTCACACGAAATCACATTGGTTGGACTGTAAGCATTGTTCTTCGTAATTCATCCGTTTTTTTCGATTAATTGTTATAAGGCAGATAGCGCAAAGACCAACTCTTTCACCCAATTATACCATTTATTTCGGGCGTGGTTCAGTTTCTGGGTGACCATTGACCATTGTCAGACGCGGTCTCCATCCTAGCACATATTCCAGAGACCAGCTGAGACACACATCGGAGACAACCGCTACAAACGTCTGAGACAATCCGTCCGATACAACCCCGAGACAATCCAAGACACGCGTTCAAAGACATCCCGAGACAGCACCGTGGCGATCTGTTTCTGGTCGACCCATAACTCTTCCCGATGTCGGAGGTCGAAAGGTCGGCCAACACACTGTCGCGGACGGCTGCCGAAAATGAAAAGCATACATCACGGCGCGCCATATGAGCGGGCGGTGCCGACAAAATGTGGTCACTGCCGGTTGGCAGGCGCTGCGCTCTGTGGTCAGTGGCTGCAGGGTGGTGGCATGGTCGGCACCGAGGGATTTAAATTGCGGCAGGTTAGGGCCGACTGGAACTAATTTTTATCTTAGATGTTATGTAAGCGCTGGGCCAACTATAGGTAAACGCACGCATGCATAAAGATTGAAAAAGATGTTTCAATTATATTGATGATAAGTCATCGAAAAATTATCTACTGCGATCAAACCTTACTTCTTTGCATAATCTAAAAAATTATCAACAACATAGTAGCTGAACCAGTAACCTAACCATACAGCCTTTTCCACCAGCGTCTCCCTAACAGCCTCGCACGTTACACATTTCCTCTAATCCGTCTGCGCCCTAATGAGTGCCGTTAGTGGTCCCGCTGACCGGACCTCGCAACTGCCCGGGGGACTGGACCGCGGCTGGTGGCGGAACCGACCGGACCGGGTCATTACCGGTCACCGAATCAGCGTCCGAGCGCCCGGTCATCTCCGGTCATCAGCGCGGCGGGTCAGAGAGAGGGGGAGGGAGAGGGAGAGTGGGGGAGAGGGAGAGGGAGAGAGGGAGGGAGGGAGAGAGGGAGGGAGGGAGGGAGATAGAGAGAAAGAGAGAGTAAGAGAGAGAGAAAGAGAGGGTAAGAGAGAAAGATTGAGGGGAGAAGAGAGAGAGGGAGAGGAAGGGAGTAAAAGAGAGAGAGAGAGAGAGGGGGAGAGAGAGGTGGAAAGGGAGCGAAAGAGACGGAGGAGAGACAACACGAAGGCGGTGGGATAGACGGAGCAAGGGGGGGATTCCGATGTTGAGTTTATATTCAACATATCTGAGCTCGTTCTTAATTCCTGGGAGCCTGTCCGTCACTAAGTCCGTCTGCGAATAGGTGGGTCTGAGACAGACCACAGTGACCACACTGTCTGAGACCACTGCGACCACAGAGACCACATACGCAGCCAGCGATGGAAGGTGCTAACAGCGGCTGGCACGTCCGGCCGTTTAGCACCTCTGGTAAAACACAGTCCGAGCAAACAGTCCCGCAATGGTGAGCGGACGGATGGCGCTCTGTGTCTGGCTCATGCCCTGGCTCAGTCTGGCTCAGAGTGGCTCAGAATGTCTCCTTTTGGCTAAATGGAGCTATATCTGGTCATGGTTCTTTAGTTGGATCGAGCAACTCTAATCAAAATACTACAGCAAGAGATACCATTACCTTTCTATGGACACGCGATCATGTCAGCGGTCTACATCTGCTGGCTGTGATTAGAGCATATGGATTTCGAAGTGGATTGAAGTAGCTTTAACATGCTGACTGCTGAGCAATGAGCATATATCGGGCGCAGGCCACACAACTCTTTTTCTATTGCCCAGCTAACAGTAGCGGCGGAACACCTTAAGGGGGGGGGGGGGGGCACTGCCGACTTTTAGTCCCATTCTTTCTATGCAACGCCCATAGGGCTAACGTTAAAATGCCAAAATCAAAGGGGGGCACGGTGCCCCGGTGCCCTCCCCGTTCCGCCGCCTATGCCAGCTAAGTTGGTGGCGTGGCCGCTGCACTGCAATCATTTCAAACTTCTCTTGTTGGATTCCTCTGGCACCGTATAAGGTTCTGATCGTCTCTGTTTGGCTAAATCTGACTCACGTCGACCGTTTGAGAGCTGCACTAAGTGGAATATCAGACGGTCTCGACTCTCGACCTCTGGGGACCGTCTGCCAACTTCACCGTGCAAGCCATGCTCAGAGCAAAGTAGACATCAGGGGCACACAAAGACGCCGAACATCAACTAAACTGCGGGCAAGAGGCCAGTGCATGCTGCATAATGTAACCCGAGACAATGTCGCCGTCACAGGAGGGCCGCTCAGTAAACTGGCCAACATCTCAAACGGGAATTGCGGATACCTGTGGGCCGTGGGGACAGGACGAGCCTATAAAAACTCAGGTTTAATGGACAATGGGTATAACTATTGATATAACCTGTATTGTTGTCAATGAACAGCTGAAAATCGAATAAATGCAAACTTTTTCACAGCCATGCGTTTTGAATATTGCTGCGTCATCACACCATCGTTAGATAATTCGACGTTTTCGTATACATGGATTGCCTTTCAAATGTCACCATATTCCGGAGTTCCAATGAACAAGGATTTCGCCACGACGGATGGCAGACGGTTCTTCCAAGGAAGCCGCGACATCATTATCAATTGGTTTGTCTGGCTTCTTTAAGGCGGCTATCGTTATGAAAAGCCTGATAAATGGCGAGAATAGCCGACATGAAATATTCATTACCCGGAGCTGCCGCGATCCATCAGCAAAGTGACACTGGAGCCTACACGTGTTTCTGCGAGGGAGCAGCTGACGATTGTGGGGCGCAATCAATGAAATATGAGCCACTCATCGCGCTCTTTTTGGTTGGGCTGCATGGTCGGATTGTGAGGACTCGAACGATATAAGTCATCCACCTAGGTGGAGAATAACTATGGGCATTCGAAAGTGTTTTACCATGTTCTGCAAATTAATTGAGCATACATTGACCATCAACTTTATTTTGCCGCCCCACACGTGTTAGTTTAACCTTTCCAGTTATTCGTAAGTAAAGGTATGGTCTACGATCATAATTGGCAAACTTCGGGAAGCCGAACAACTTTTGTAGAGTTGCCCGTACATCTTGCTTTCTGACCTTAGTGAACTCACTCTAACATAGGTGTGTCATGAAAGTCTGTGAAGATTTCCGAGGAAAATTCATAGCGTGGTCATCATCCATTGGTCTTTGATTTCATGCCCGATTCCCTTGCAAGCTGTGTTCGCAATACTGACGTCAATTTGTGCTTAGTATAATTTTCGTCTATTCAATACCTTGCTATTTGCGACGAAGCAGGCTAGAACCAGGGTAGCATGCATGCAGCCTTCAATATAACAGGATTGAAAATCTGAACGGGACTGGAGTCAACGTGAAGATGATTGAAGATCAAGGTTAGCTTCAGAATCGATGGAATATTTATTGCTATCCGATACCCGGCTATGATTAGGGATCAATTCATGGCCAGCATCACCCACTGACTGTAAAATGACGGGACGAGAGAGCTGGCTATGCGAGAAGGTAAAATCGCGGAAGCGTTCCTTCCGCCTGGTCTCCTCTCTGGAACATAACGAGCTCACGGCTCGACGGCGCACCAGATGCGCTCGTAACTCGGCCACGGCCGCTGAGTGTCGCCGAAACGGCCCCTGGCCGGGTCGCGAGTCGCCACCGGCGTCACCAAGTGGCGCCATTCAAGGTCATAAGGTCAGCCGGCCGCCGAGATGACCCCCTGACCCCGGTGGCCTGGGCCGGCAGCCAGTTCATGGGCGCGACTTGTCCACCTGACCCCACTGACCCGGCCGTTGACCGCTGATCAAACCCAGTGACCTTGTCTGCGCGGGGACGGTGTAGGATGTTGTGAGTGACCTTTGACCTCCATTTTTTATGTTGACCTTGGATGAGACAAGTATTGTTAAAGGCCAAGGTAGCCGTATTCTTTTTTAATGAATTCAGATTCTTGTGTGATTTTTTCATATGAATCAGCCTTTGATTTGAAGAGCTATTTTTGACTTGCTCATTCTAACACTATGCATAACTGTTACTGTTAACGCCAGACCCCTTGAGACCCTGATTTTTCGCGTTCATTTTTGAATGCGTGGAAGAATTTCAACCAAGCTCAGGACATGGCCGTTTCAAGACCTGCCGAAACTTTTACAATTTAGATATTTTGTCGCCATTTCAATATTTCAGGCACTTCTCATTGACTCTTAATGCTAAATTTCGAGCAAGATTTTCACCCGGTGTGTAGAGGCTATCACCAGTCAGTCTGTGATACGTTATGACGTCATAGCTAAGCCCCGTCTCTGTGGTCTTGGCCTGCGGCGGTTTCGGGCCGGCGCGCGGTCACTCGCGCTGTGGCGGGGAGCGGGGACGGTGGAGCGGTGCCGAAAGCCGGCGGAGTTGTGCGTAACGTCTTTTCTGACAGTGCCCAAAGAGCGAAATGATGACTGAGGAGCAATAAATGCTCAATGCGCATTGCTTGTACAAGGCTGATATGTTCGCGGATATTTGTTCTATTTTTATAAGCTGCAAATGACGGGCAGATGGCATATACCTGACACAAGGTTAAGAAATATTCACCTGTATTTAAAGCCTATGGCGTTGCAGATAATGCAATTATGGGATGTCGGATTTCATCAAGTAGCTGCTGATTTGTACATCGTTATGCACCCATCGATCAACGCAATAATGAGTTAATTGCCATCATAAGGCTCGCTCGTATTTCACCAAGCAGATATCCTCCATCGAAAATCGTATTTGTTAGGAATCGTCAACGTTTGTCCGAAGCATGTGTGAGTAGTAGGTTGAGGAGTGATGGTCCTCTTGGTCCTATATATAAGAGTCAACAAGAGCCTACCATTTACTTGTTTGTCTGCTGCAATTGATTCATAGCACGTGAAGCGTCAGCGAAATTCATAGTCCTTTACAGATGGCAGGGGTGTCGTTTGTACAGAGGTCGCTGATGGACACGGGTCAATCAATGCCGCAGTCGTGGGCGGAGCCTAATGTCATATGACGTATGAAAGCCTCTATCCAGGATGGAAAAACAGTTAACATTACGAGTCAATGACAAGTGCCACAAATATATAAGTGACAACAAAATGTATTTAAAGAAAAAGTTTCGGCAGGTCTTGAAATGGCTATTTCCAAAATATGGTTGATTTTATTCCACGCATTTAAAAAATAATCGCGAAAAATTAGGGTCTCAAGGGGTCTGGCGTTAACAGTAGACTGTTTACCGAACAGTAAAATGCAACTTATAAATCACGAGTTACACGGCTCGGAACCTTTGACTACTGAAAATAGACCACCTTCCATCAACTCTGATCTGATTTTGCTATAGCTCGCAGCCATTGTGGGCGGATGACACAAATCTACGGCGCGGTCGGTAGATCAGCGACTGCACAGAGGCGGCGGCGATCGCCACACAGTATATGGGTGGACATCGAAAGGGCGACCATCAAATAACGCTGGACCGCGCCTACTGGGCGCTGACCGCAGCTCTCGGGCGGGGGCGGGGGCGGCGGCGGCGGCGGCGTCTGAAGCCACGCTGAGCCGTCGCACAAAGTCACATCACCCTGACAGAAGCGGTGTGCTCCGGCAAGATTTGCCTACCCCGCCGCGCAGGGCCGGGGCCATCCAACTGACAGTCACTGCAGGCGAGAACAGCCGACCGCCATATGCAGGCTGCCATATGCAGACTGTCATACACATTACACAGCTTCACAGCGACGTCCCCGTGCGCCATTTATGGCTTCGCGTTTTTGCGCGTTGTCTCGTGCGGCTTTGCAAGACGGCGATGAAGAGGTGATTTAGCGCGAGGACCTCCCCAGAACAGCCTGGTCATCGCGTCTGTCACCGCGGCCCCCTCAGGGGACCCGGCGAGAACTGACGGGTGGGCGGACAGCCACGTCACTGTCCGGTCAAACAACGCATAACGCCGACTCATATGCAACTCAAGCTGTGAAACTGGTCATAATATTGTATTCGCTAACTCAAAAGGAAAGCGTAACAGCATAAATAAAATGGCATGCAGGTTAACCAAGAAAAGTCTTTATATGAGTATAAAACAGGATACACACAGAGTATAAACAGAGTTTTTCATATTTCCCAGTCAGTCACAACTCATAAAATGTAAAAGGTAGATCGAGAGATGCTCGCGCCTATTTTGCCCCCACTGGCGCCAAAACTAATGGCGGAGCTGTCTACAGTATAACACTGATGACCATTCAGACCATTTCCCTGGGTAATTTACGACCAACATGTCATATGAATCACACATTGTGCCCAGACTTATCAAAAAATCGTCTCAGCAAAGCCTTCGCGTCGATAGCTGATGGCAATGGGTGGAGTCGTTTGGAACACGCTGGTTCGTGCTAATCGTGTCCATCGCTTAATGTCACGTCCTGCACTTCAAGCACTGTGAACCATGGGAAATGGTTGTAGCACTACTTGCTGAGCAAGCATTTGACGCTCGGTCTGACTGTCTGCAAGTAAATGAATGAAGAAATTAGTGAATGAAGAAGGTGAATAAAGAAGGTAAAAAAGGGCATATCATAATGGCGCAAGACCGCGCCCTTATGGAAGCTTCGAATCAATTGCTAAGCCATTGTATGCATTTTTCCATCTGGTAATGCACTTAACCCTCGCGGGCCCGGGGGGGGCGTTTTTCGCCCCCCCTGGCGAATATTTGCGATAACTCCCGAACGCTTAGGGATAGGAAGGCGAAACTCTCAGTACCTTTTCTCCCATCAATTTGACATCTTCTGAAGTAAAAAATTTGGACCTAGCCCCCTTGATGACGTCACAAGGTCCATTTTTCTAGACCCCTGCACGGCAAACTTCGGCGTCACAGACGCAAACTTCAAATAACTGCTAAAAATAGAGTTTTAGAGATAAAGACAAATTAAGAGCACGGCTGTGTAGCGTTTGACCTAGAGAAAAATAGAAAAATAGTTTTGGTGACCTGAGGTCAGAGGTCAGGTCAACGACCCCGAAATGTGGTTTTAGTTTTTCGCAAATAACTTCGACAAAAATGGTCCTAGAGCAACGGCAGTGGTACCATCGCATTCGCCTTGTCAAGCCGCGTCGAATGATATATATTTTGTTCGGAAAAGGTCAAGTTTCATGTTGACCTCATGTGACCTCGAATGACCTCTGGTTGACCTTGACACATGAAAGGTTGTTTATGATGGATTTGTACCCGCTGATCACGAATCTGGCATCTATTTTCCTCTAAGCCTTCATTTAGAGCTTCCGGATGGCAAAATTGTCTTATTTATTATTACTAACTTAATAAGTGAAATAGCCTCTAGCAGGGATACTCTTCTGTGACCTTGACCTTTGAGCAGCCTTGTATCGTAAGATGAACCACAAATAGGGAACTGATAAGCCTCAAAACATTTCAAAACATCTTGGAAGTTAGCACGCAAGGTGTGCGAAAAAGTGCCAAGTTTGAGGTCAATTTTGAGCGTGACCTTGACCTTGACGTTTGATTTAGAGCACATTTTCAGAATCCTCAGATTCTCTTCTTTCGTTTGACACCCAATTTTGCCGGTTTGATGCAGCCTGCCGTCCTCTAGAAGGCTTACTTTGAGATCACTACACATGTGCCGGTTTTGGCCTTTGACCTTGACCTCTGACCTTGAAAATTGACCTGAGGTCAAAAATTTTAGGTGCATTAGAATCGCCTCGTAGGGACCTTTCGTTTGGTATCGCTTTTGTTTCCGTAGCTCTCTTATTTAACGGAGTTAGACAGGGGGGGCGAAAAACGCCCCCCCCCCGGGCTGCGGTGGTTGGGATTACCCTCCGGGCCCGGCCGGGTTAACGTGTCCTGGTGACCCGATGCTGACATTGCAGCAATATATGGTGGAAAGATGCACGTTACAAAACTGTATAAAAGCGGCTGCGTGTTTGCATAAAACATAAGGGGAACGCCTTCACTGCAGGCTTGCAGCAATGTTCAATGTAAGCTAATTACATTATTTGCAAATCTTAACCCTCGCCCGCACATGCCATGTTCCCATCCTAGAACGCACATGGGGGGGGGGGGGGGGTTGCCACCCCTCCGCGCCATTTAGTTCCTGTTGGAGCTAGAGCTTCGCGGTAAAGACCAAAAAGATTTTTTGGGAAGAGACGAATCCAATGATACCCAGTTTCACCTTCTCAGGTCAGTCATTGACCTTCCAGGTCAGGTCAAACTAAAAAATGTTGCTGTTTTGGGTCACCGTTGGATATCAAGTGTGCTGCTTATCATATACCGATGACGATGCCATTTTCTGGTGCCAAGCCAGCTAGAACCTCTTTGTCACACTACCCGACCAGGTTTTTGCTCCTGAGGTCATTTCAGGTCAAGTTAGGTCAAGGTCAATTATATGTGTTTGTATGTCTGTGTGTGTCTGTGTGTATACTGATGTCTGCACCGATTGTTTATGTGTCCATATTGCATGAAATCATGATCTGAGAAGCTCTTACCAAAAATGCAGTCAAAAAAATTCACGAAAAGTAAATTTAGCTTGCCTAAAATGCAATTATTGTAGATGACCTAGGTTGACCTTGACCCTGACCTTGACATCTGTACATCGTCGAACAACATGTTCCATGATAGGTTGGAGGTAAGATTGGCAAAAAAAAAGCCGAAATCAAGGTGTCAAAAGCTCACAAGGCCCATAGCCAACGCAAGATGTTGAGAATTGGTCATTTGGGTCATGACATGACCTGAAAACAAGGTCATATCTCCGAAACCAAAAACCATAGAAACTTGAAATTTTCAGTGGACATCAAGAAAGGATAGAGGAGCAGCTATACCAAAAATCAGGCTTCTAGCTTCAAAAATGCTGAGTGCAGAGCAGAAAGACTACCTGGGGGGGGGGGGGTGGCAACTGGCAACCACCCCTCCCCCCCCCCCATGTGCGGGCGAGGGTTAAATCATGGTAGACAAATAAGAATATTTTTCTGGCATACAACGAGTTGAATGCCTCAAACACTATATTTTTAATTGCAAGTCACCGGAGCACGACAAGAGATGCGCAAACGGAACAAACCATTGCACAGACGCTGCTGCTTGCAAGCTTGCATTGCAGCTTTACTACCTAAATTGCCCGACAAACAGCATCTTGCTGTATACACAACTACTGCCTGCTTGATATTCTCATGACGGTTCATAAAGCTGTGGACGTCGTGAGCTCGAGATAACTGAATGCAAACAAAGCATTTTGGAGTGTTTGAAATCAAAACTTGAGGAGAGCACTGTCACTCTGCACCATCATCCACCAACGCTGGCTCAGAGAACAGAGAAGAGAGAGAGCAGAGACACTCTTCGACGTCGATGACATCTAATCCAATGCTTCATATAGACTCTGTTCTGTGCGGTGTGACGTTTTGCACCTCCTTCCGCATAACTGCAGAACTTCTGTTCCATTTTCTGCTGTCGACAGGCGGCTCACGAACAAGGACCACACCAGCTGCAGTGTTCGGAACCACAGGCTGCTCCCACCTAAATCACAGCCGGCAGACACTGCCCGCCCCTGGGGAATTCGCCAGATATTCACCACCGCGGCGAATATGGCGCAGCCGAAATGACGCACGGAAAGTACGGAGACAAAATTTAGTGGCCAGAACAAAGAAAATGGTCGGAAAAGTGGGCCTGCGTTCTGGTGTTGCATGGTCGATTCTAAAACGTCCTTTGTCATGGATAAGCTGATAAATATTGTTATCTTTGTTTTAAACGTAAATCAGTAAAGTAAACATATGCTAATACCAATGCTTACGCATGCTTTCTCTGCCTCTTATACCAACTGCCTCTTATCTGTCGAGTGTTTCTTGTGCACCTCTGCCTCTGTCCCTGCCTCTCTTCCTCTGTCCCTGCCTCTCCCTGCTCTGTCCCTGCCTCTGCCCGCTCTGTCCCTACCTCTGCATCGACGACCCGACACCCAACCGAGCCAATTACTGCGTGGAATCTCGGTCCAGAAATCTCACAGCTCACAGATCAGAGGCCTGTGCGCTCGGCGAGGCCTGAATTGGACCGCACGCACATCTGAGGATTAGGGCACAGCTCCCGTCGTATGCAGCTCCCAGCTGAGGGCTTTTCCCAGTCACCAATCAGCTTCATCTGACGGTGGCTGTTGTTGGCGCCCAGCGCTGCCCTACGCCAGTCGTTTGTGAGCACCACGCCTGATCCCGAGCACGAAATCAGTCGACTCACAGCGCGCTGCTATACGAGAGGCGACGTCGTGGAGCGGCAGTTTTTCCGCTCGATCGGACCGGGTGCGAAGCGGGACCCCCACCGGTAAAAGCCATCAGTCAGGGCGGATGAGAGCGGCGCAGTTGCTAGGTTTTTGAGAGCGTGCTAGATGGGGCTGAGGCCGTTTGGCCCACTTTGGCTCAGTTCGGGATGAGGCTGGCTTCGTGCTCTATGAAGGGGAACAGCGACAAGAGGGCGGGACGAATTTCTCCTGACAAAAGTGTCACTAGAGAGACAGATTTTGAGGTCGATAAAAACAGCTGTAATCATTGCTCGCATTGTGCTGACGAAGTTACTCTACTTTGCCAACGCTGTTTCTTATAAGCTTTCCCTCAAACGTTTGTCATGCACAAAGTCGGTCATACGGTGTTGCTGAATGCTCTACGACGACAATAAAATCATAAACTACTGAGGCGTTCCTCTTCTGCACCAAATCTATCTAGATCAGATATGAATATGGCCGTAGTATGTTTAGGGCATAATTAATAATCTCCTATCTCGCTAACAAGTTCTAGGACATCATTACGAGCCGCTCATTACCGGCTGTAGCGGACGGTTGATGTGAGTACCCGCCAATCGAGACTGGCAGTAGTGCTGCACAGAGCGCTTTCACGTCAGAGCCCCTGCACTTCCCCGCTCCTCCGCGATCCGCGCCTCTGACACAATAACATTGCACTTCTCAGCTCTCCTCTTCAGCCCTCTGCCAGGTGCGCGTGCGTAGCAGAAGGCGCCGTCCAGCGCGGCCCTCGACATACCAGCACGGCGCGTTTCATTCAGCGTCCACCGCCCGCAATCGCCCCCGCATTCTTAAACAAAATCGGCCGCCCTGTCGATAATAATCGCCGGGGCTCGGCCAGCCGGCGCTGGGCAGTGATTTACAGGGCCGGCGCGGCGGGTGGCGCGTTCGCCGCGGTACTCACCAGACGCGCAGTGTTTGTAGCAGTGGTGGCGAGCGGGAGAGTCGCAATGGCGAGCAGAATACAGACTTTGGCTGCGTGCCGCGCCATCTGGAAACGAAAGAGACGTCAACCGATTTGTCCTACAAACTCTTCATCAATACCAACAACCACAAAATGCAGCGCACGCCCAACAAACCCTCTTGCACAACACCACAATCACTACACACTCGTCACAAACCGCGTCACACCCATCAAGTACCCCGGGTAACCACCGCAATCGGCTCATCTGCTCCGCGTGCACAGCCGAATTCGATGAGTCGCCAGATAGGGCGGACGGCGCTCGCTCCGCGGCGGAGCGCTCGAGACTGGCTCTGAGGTGTTTGTGATGGGTTAATTGCAGTGCTGGTCGTGTCACACTCTGACTGATTGGCGGGTTTGTTGTGGCCGGAGACGGGGGGGGGGGGGTTGAAGGAATGTGACGCACCGTCATGCCACGAGCGGTGGAGGTGGTGGAACGAGCCGAGGTGTCAGAGGGATGAGTCAGCGATACGGACGGACAGACTGACTGTCATCACTAGGAACACCTGTATGTTTTTTCATATGCATGAAAAATGCAAAAGAAAAATGTGTTCCTCATTTTTCAATCATTATCGGTAGATTTCAACAACGTTCTTAATCAAAATTGCTTGAATAGCGAACAGCATCCGTTAAGACCATAGACAAAAATTAGCATTTTCTATTTTCATGTTTTTATCTCTGATAAAACCGAATGCAGCTTCCCCCGGTCAACAAGTGAATTTATTAAACTCGATCATAATAAATAAACCAATGACGTATAACTACTTTGCGCAAAAGTAGGTCAGAGGTATTGGTATATTAAGTAAATGTTCACATCTACCAGTTACATTCCCAGTTGTTTTATGTTTTACCTATTGTATTTATTTTTTCAGCCTGCAGCTGGATAATACATAGGTAGGTATATCAATTAAATTACGAAGCAATTGCTATGCACGCCCTCAATTGCCAAAGTCTGTCTGTTATTGCATGATAACCGAAACACAACAAGGAAAACTACGCGACGGTAGTAAAACATCATTTTAGGCTTTTATGTCCAATTAATTCGAAGGATGAAGTCAATAAATAAATATAAGACCGTTATATTAAATAATTCTAATATCACTACTAGCATTCTTAAATTAAGCGGTATTTATTAGCGTTTACGGCAGTGGCTCCGCCTCCTATCCAGAAGCCTGCTTTGTTGCCCGTTTAGGGCATCTCATTGTGATGCAAATATTGGGAAGTGAGCACGTCACTGAACAAACTCGGCTAGTCGGCGGATGATTCAGCAGCCTGTTCTAATCCATTCGCTTACAGCCCGCGAGCCCGACCGTCGAGAGGCGCTCAAATCAAAACAGACAGCTAGCCAACTTCCATGCCGGCTCCACGGCGAATTATCGCGTGCACCGGCCTCACGAAGAGGGATTTTGCATTCGCATCGCAGTCATCAGCTGACTTTGAGTCTGCCACTTAGCGGCACGGCACCGCACAGAGTACACGGCCAAGTTTGGGCAGTATTGGAGCGAACCGAGTCAATCGTTGCATGTTGACACTGCCGTTGCGCCGCCGGTCGAAGGTCGATAACTGAGTGGCAAACCATGCGCGGCGCGTTTGGAGCCAGTGTGCTGCGTCGACGATCTTGGCGCAGTACAGCACTGTTCTCCCCCCGCTCGGTGAACACCCAGTAATCTCAGCTGGGGAGGTCGCACCGCCCGGCAGACACATGTTTTACATTAGAGAAGTGACGCGTTTGTGCCCAATGAGGAGCGCCAGCATCGCTGGGCGGCTTGTCATTGCAGAAGGACCTAGCCAGCGTCCCTCGGAGCGGGGAGGCGGGCGGGCACTCAGACTCCTCGGCGATGATTGCAGGTTGACAGAGGGCGGGGCGCCGCTAAACATGAGTAGATAATGAGTCAGACAGAGTGGTGAGAGCAGATCTGGAGAGGGAGAGAGCGGGGCTGATCCGAGCCGGGCGGCAGAGGATGGGAGGTGGCTAGAAAAGAGGACGAACAAATGAAAGGAGATGGAAACTCTGAGAAGAAAGGAAATACAGGATATTATGGGAAATGAAGCCGCAGAAAAAGGAGACAGGGAGAGAGATACATATCAGAACCGAGTGAAAACGGAAAAGAAAGGAAGTAAGATATAAAAAGAGCTAGAGAGAAAGAGGCTGGAGTTGTGGCGGTGGAGAGATGGAAGAGTAGATTAGGGAGGACCGAAAAGAAAGGTGGATCGTAGTAGCTAGCGACATAACGGCATTTACCCTTGTGAATGTAAGTGGTAAACCGAACTCAGAAGCAACAGTATAAAAACGCTTCAAAGGGGATCAAGGATGATGCAAAGCATCAATTCCTTGACCGATTACACTTGTTACATTCTTCAGGAGCACTAGGTCAAACTCATCGATACGAAGCGCTACCAAGCACGAAGAGCGCTAAGCAGTGTTGCCTGGCCGCCCTGACCCAAAGATTCCAGCTGAGCTCAACCCGTTCCCACCGAGGCGACCACCGCCCCAGCCCGGAACTGCGGCTCACCTCACACGGGGTGACACCTGAGCCGACCCGACCCCGACACCACCCGGTGGCTGACACGACCCAGGTGTCACGCTCAGTCAGTTTTTCACATGGAGACTGAAAACATAGCAGCCTGGCCGAACCGGTAGTGTTCTGAATGTGGAACACAGTGTGGTGGGTGGGTAGTGGGTGTTTGTGCTAGTGAGTAGTGAGAATCGGTGAATTGCTTTTTGAATTGTTTAGTGAATTGATTGAGATAGAAGAGTATTATGCGCAAAACTTTATCGTATATCTAACAGCGTAAAGGTGCTGTATTTTCATTGCTAGTATATAAAAAAAAGATCATTCAGCATACAAAGCGACGTAACACAAAAAAGAACGAAAGAAGACTGCCACAAACGTTAGCGTTTACGATAATTTCTCTTATTCACCTCCCACACTTAACACAGTTCGTCAATTCTGTTGACGTTGAGCAGTGTAAGTCACCTGGCAGCGTTTATCTCCACAGAAGCGAGACAAACATTTCGGTTAGTGCTCACAGCTAATCTGGGCGGCGTTAATCCGCTTAACAATGGCCCTCGCTCCTGGCGAGCTGCAGTTAACGTGAGGTCGTTAGCGCGGATCAGGCGGCCGCTCTGATGATTTGATTAGCCTCGCTCGCACACACCCCGACCAGAGCCGCGGCTGCTGGAATGGCTGGCACGCGGAGGAATGAGGGCTGCAACATGGTTACATCGTAGTTACTGCAGGGG